TCCGAGTTGCTCGTGTACGTTGCCGAGATTGACAAGCGCTGCTACGACCCGCGCGACGAGCCGCAGTACCGCGAGCTGCGAGAGTTCTGTTACGACTGGGCCGACTCGCTCTTATTCGAGCTGCGTAACGAGCAGCCGGCTAACGAGCGTGGAGCGTGTCTGGAGGGCCTGGCTGCGATCCTGGAGTGCAACGCACTGGCTGTCGAGTCGCTCCAGCTGTCCATCTCGCACCAGAGCGCGTTCCGCAACCTGATGGTGCGCGTCATGAATTTTGTCATGGACAAGCTGGGCGCCAAGGGAGTGTTCCACAACACGCTGCTGTTCTCTGGTCGCTTCCTCGCCTTTGCCTTCTTCCGCATCCCGCATGTCGGAGGACAGCTCGTCGGCGTCCTGCAGCCGCCTCGCGGTGCGCTCATGCGCTTCACTCGACCCGTCCTCATCGGCCAAAAGATTCCGGCCGAGGCACAGCCCGTTTATCCCGAGCACCTGCAGGGTCTCTGCTTTGACAATGCGCAGGCGTACACCCGCCGGTTACTCAGCCTGGACCCAGACTTTGAGGCTCCCGACGAGAAGGAGGCATTCCACTTCCAGCCCGGAAACTGGTTGCGCCGATGGCAGTCGGACGACTCGGAGCTGTTCCCGGCGTTCTACCGCGCATACCACCGCCAGCTTGCCAACTACCTCGCGCCCGCGGTCGAGTACTACCAGCAGCAGAACCGCCCGGTGCCGACGCACGTGCTGTTCCGCGCGCCCGGTTACGCTCACCTCGCCACGATCTTTGCGCGCAAGTGCCACTCGTACATTCTCGGATCCGTTAACGCCGTCACGACGTCGAGCTCTGGCCAGCACTTTGACGCGACTGAGAGCGCCGGTTTCCGCGGCTCGCAAAAGCCCGCTGTTCTCGAGACTGCCAACCGTCGTCTCGTTGAGACCATGTGGACGTTTGCGAGCACGCTCGTCACGCTGCCGACGTCTGACGGACGCGTGCTCGAGTGCGACGGCAGCCAGCTGTGGGGCGAAATGGTCGAGCTGTGGATGAAGAACCTCATCACCAAGACGAGCTTGTACTCGCCCAAGGGTGTGTTCTGTCTGTTCGACCTGATCGACGGTATTGTCGACCCCGTGCTGAACGGCTCGGCCGACTCGCCGCTCGATATTCCCTACGTCATTGGTCTCGTGCGCCTGATTCTGAACGAGGCCGAGCACGCGCTCACGCTCGTCAAGGTGATTGCGTTTGTGTTTACGCACTGGGAGATTCTGACCGCGCGGCCCGAGGACCGCAAGGAGCTCTGTCTCGACATTCTCCTCGACCGCAAGCTCTTTGAGCGCCTGTGTTTGTTCTGGTCGCAGTCGGTGCGCTCGTACGTCCTGCGTCTGGTTGTGTTCCGTCTCGGACACTTGCACACGACGAACGCGGACGGCGAGTCGTACAATGTCGAGATTGAGAGCGTCCAGCTCCTGCAGACGCGTCTCGATCGCATCAAGCGCCGGCACGACGAGCTCGAGCCTGCCCCCAAGGACGACGACCCGCTCGAGTCACCGACGCAGCTCAAGACGCCGCATACCCCGCGAACGCCGACGACGACGCAGATGCCTCGCAGCCGCAGCACGATCACGATGGTCGCCGACTCGCCCCAGGCTCCGAGCAAGGCTGAAAAGTTACTCGGACTCGGCGGCTTTGGGCAGAGCGACGAGGACGGGGGCAAGCCCAAGGCGTCGTGGTGGAAGCGCACGCTCGGCAAGCCCGGCAAGAAGGCGCGCAAAGCCAAGGAGGCTGCGAGCCCCAGCATCTCCCCGAGCCCGACGCTGACGGATGTCACGCTGCCGTCGCCGCGCTCGTCCACCTCGTCGCGCTACGAGAACAGCGCCGGCAGCATCAAGGGCCGCCAGTCGCCCGCTCCTGCGCCGCTGTCCAAGCCGCAGCCGCCTACTCCCACTCAGCAGCAGCAGCAGCAGCAGCAGCAGCAGCAGGCAAACCGCCCGCCGCAGCCGGCGGTGCAGCAGGCCGATGCAGCAGCAGCCCCCACAGCAGCTACCCGAGCCCAAGCTCGAGCCGAGCCCTATGGCAGCGGACGCCGGTGTCGAGAGCCCGCGCTCGTCGGACAGCAGCGACTCGCCCAAGACGCCTGGCCGCAAGGCGCCTCCGCCCAACATCAACGTGGACCACGCCAAGCGGCCCGAGGGCACCAAGGCGGCGTTTGCGTTCGAGTTTGACCTGCCCGCCATGTCTCCTCGGTCGGATGCCTTCGACCCGGCGCCGAATGCCACCTCCCCGCGACGCAGCAGCCAGCCCCCTTCTCCCCGTGCCACGACGAGCCCGCACATGTCGCAGAGCTTCAGCAAGCGCTCCTCGCTCCTGCCGCCGAGCACGGAGAAGGCGCTGGCGGATGTGCTCAAGAACGCGCCGCCCGTCCCCGTCATCGACCTGGGGTACGACAAGAAGCTGCACTGCTACGCGGTGCGCATGCTCGCCGAGCTCGAGGACGCGCAGAAGGAGTACGACGAGTGGTGGTCCGAGGGCGGCATCGGTAAGGTCGACGGCGCGCCGCCGCGTCTCGCGGTCGCCTGGCCCTTCCACGAGGGCGAGGACTAGAACTATCACACTATCACATCCCATGCCTCCCCCGATCCCCCGACATTACGCAAACAGATACTTTCCCGGATTCCCAGGCCGTATTTACCTTTTACATATATATATTTTGTATTTGACGAACAAACGTATTTAGAATCAATCCCATCCCAAAAGCATCCCCGCCCCCTCGGCTGGGGGATGGACGATACCGCCCAGTAGTGACTATGTACGATGATGACTGGTGCGAGTGCAGCGAGCGGAGCGAGTGTGGGTGGTGCAGCGTATGGAGTGAGCGTGGAGTGTGGGGTGTGAGTGAGGGTTAGTAGGCGAGGAGCGCGAGTGTGAGCGTGAGAGCACAATCAGAGTTGTAAAGCATGCAAGATGATCAACAAGGGGTCAGTGAGGCGCGGTGGAGTGCTGATGCATGAAACGAGGGTTACCGGGGTTACCGGAGGTGTAGTCTATCGGAGCCGAGCGACGGCTGCTGATGGGAGCCGGCGACTGAGAGCCGGACGCGGCCGGACACCATGTGTGACTATTGACTCGATCGTCCAGGCGACAGTGTGACTCCCACAGCGCGCAGCGCGGCGAATGCGGCGCATGCGGCGACCCATGGTGACCCCCGTCTTCGGTCGATCGGCCCCGGAGGCCTGGAGGCCTGGATATGCACACCGCGACTCTCGTCAACTGCGGCGACGCTAGTGATAAGGATATAAACAGGTGGCAAGGGCCTCTCTCTTATTCCATCTCTGTCTCTCTGTCTCTCCTCACTAGCATCTCTCCTCACAGTATTTACTATCAACTGCACTCTGCCCTCTCAGCTCTAGTCTGTCCTCGGCGCTCCACCCCGCTTCTGCTCAGCTTTGCTCAGCTTTGCTCAGCTTCTCCCGTCCCGCATTCTGCAGTCTGCAGTCTGCAGTCTGCAGTCTGATCCAAATGTTGGCGAACCTGTATCCCGCCCTCCTACACCGTATGGAAACGACGCAGGACCGGATCCTCGATGCGATGGACAGGCTGGAGATCTGGCTCGACTCGTTCACTTCTACTTCTACTTCTGGATCTACAGTCTCGACAGTCTCGGGGAAGGGGGTGGGGAGGACTAGGATGTTTGATAAGGGGGACAGGAGGCAGAGGGAGTGGGCCAGGAGCGAGGTGGAGGAGGTGGATAGTAGTGATGATAGCGACGAGGAGGAGGATGGGGAGGATGGGGAGCGGTGACACCCTCCAAACCCACACGACCAGCACCAGCACCACACACAGCAGCAGCACCAGCACCAGCACCAGCAGCCATCAACTCGCCGCTCTGGATCCATCAGTCATCACCAGCACTGCGATCGGTTAGACGGAACTCAGCTGCTCAGCCCATGAGCCCGCGCATGGAACCATTCCCCGTCGTTCTCGTCTCGTTCTCGTCCCGGCATCTCAGTCTCTGGGCAACAAACCCCAGAAAGGAGGCTTCCATATCGTCCATGTCGTAAATCTCGTAATGTCCCAATTCCGATGATCTGTTAATCTCGTCGATTCGATGAATTGTAGAACGCAAACGCACATGTAGGCATAGGCATGGACGGATGGATATGCCGAGGCCATTTTGGGGTGCTCACTTCCCCTCTTTAGATAATGAGACGATGACATCAGTACGTCGTCGTCTGAGGTTCGCATTCCGTGCACACTCGGGGATTTGGGAAACTCTGCTGCAAGATGATAAACGTGCGACGGGCGACGTGCGAGGTGCGAGGTGCGAGGTGCGACTGGGATTGTGAATGTGAGGCCGCGGTTTCGGAGATGAACACTATGCATATTCTGTCAGCGTTGCCACTCAGCGTTTATGTGATAGCATGAAGAGCAGAAGAGCTCGAGTCACTGTAAGCGTGAGCATGCGAGCAAGGGCTGGCTCAATTGTCACTCTGTACTCACTTGGCGCCTGTCGCTTATGCGTTTCAGCCGTGGGTGCATTCCACTTTGCCACCCACACTTGCTCTCATGAACTCACAGTCTCAAGAGTCTCAGACACTCCCATGCCTGATTTGGCAGTTGAGTAGAGGGAGGAGGAAAGGACTGTGGATGGTTGACTGGACGACGGGGAGACAGGAGGAATTGGCCGAGAGGCGTCGAATTGACCGACTCACCCCATTGCCAACAGTAGTGACCTTCCTGCAAACCTGTCACTCTCGACCTACACGCTGTCCAAGGTCTCATGGACAAACAGGGTTAATCTGGCTTGCCGAGCAGCGCAGCTGTGTCTCCATGTCGCTGTGTCGAAGAGTCATAGAACCCGATCAACTTCCCTTCACCGAGCCCTCGTGCCTCCACAATTTTGGCCCCGCTCGTCGCGTCGTTTGACAGACATTACGCGTCCACGCGCTCGCCCCTGGCGTCCTTCACTGGTAACAACAAACCCTCCACTCTACCTTCCTCCGCACACACCATGCTTCCAGTCGAGGATATTATCCGCATAGCAGTCCGCGAAACGGATGCTCCGGGTACGTACTCGTAAACAGCGCTGGCCAAAGCTAACTCCAGCCGTTGGCGAGGACTACGCCGCCAGCGTCCAGGCCGCCCTCGAGCATCCCGAGTCTGTGAGTCGTCCTTCCTCGTGGAGCTGGCATGTGTGCGATAAAGTAGCTCACATCAGATCCCCGAGTACAGCAAGGACAGCAAGGCGCTCGACGTTGTTCGCTTCCGCGCCCTGCTCCAGGACACGGGCTTCCCGGCCGAAGTGTACCAGGACTCGAATGGCGGGCTCGCCGAGCGCTGGATCGGATGGGGCGTCGAGTAAGCTGCAGCGCACTTTGTGAAGCTAACAGCAGAATCCCGGGACTGCAGGACTGGACCCGGTCTTCAAACTCTGGGGGTTTGGCCGCGCAGGCGATGGAGGGACTCAGCCTGAACGACTCTGCAGCCTCAACGCAGACACCCGACAAGCACCCCCTCAGCGCACTCGGGCACAAGGCCCCCGCAGCGCTGCTGAAGGTGTACGACGCGGAGGTGTCTTACCGCCCCGCGTCCGTGCTCGACGTGATCGGTATCGTGTCCCAGGGCATGCTCCCTTCTTTCGACGACGGCGACGCCCCCCTCGTCCCCGCCGTTCACGTCCTCAATGCCACAGTGCTCGATGCGCCGCACGCTGCCACGCCGACCGACGCCGCCGCCCGGCAGAGCCTCGTCGAGCACCTGTCCCGCGCCTTTGATCCGCCTGATGCGACGGCCGGCGAGCTGCTCCTCCTCTCCCTCCTCGCGCGCCCAGACGTGAGGCAGGGTGTGGCACTGGGCCAGCTCAATCTCAACGTCATCCGCCCCAAGAACGGGAGCTCGCTGAACGCGCACCTCGCCCCCCTGACGCCGGCACTGGTCAACCTCCCCCTCTCACTTGATCTGCTGCACCGCGCTCCGTTCCGCCCGAAATCGGATGGCGCCCTGCTTTCTCCCGGTCTCCTCCAGCTTGCCCCCGGCACACTCCTGCTCGTGGACGAGGACGCGCTCGGCGAGGGCGAGCTGCAGGAACGCGCCGTGCGCAACCTCCAGGCACTCTCCGAGCTGCTCGCAGAGCAGAACCTGACGTACGAGTACCCCTACTCGTCCGGCGTGCGGATCCCGACCTCGATCCGCGCGCTCGTCGAGAGCGAGGGCCGCTCGCTCCTCCCCGTCGACGCCGCGCTGCCCGCCACACTCTCAACCACCGTCCAGGCACCCTCCGAAGACGATCTGGCCAGGTGGCGCGCCTACCTCGCACACCACAGTAGTTCCGCGCACGCCGCGACGTTCAGCATGCCCGACGCCGTGGCCACGATGATCCAGGACGAGTTTGTGCGCGAGCGCCAACAGGGCGGCGCGGGGAGTATAGAGAAGGCCGAGGCACGCCTCAAGCTCAGGATGAAGCTGGCCCGGCTGCTCACGCTCAGCGAGGGGAGTGAGGTCACCGAGCCTGTCTGGCGGAGGGCGGTCGAGCTAGAGAACGAGATCGAGAGGAGGAATGCGGAGCGCGAGGCGAGGAGGAGGGAGAACACGCAGGGGAGGACGCTGGGACAGCCCTCGCAGACGGCGGCGACGCCTAATGGCTCGGCGGAGCAGCCTAACGGAGAGCCCACGGCGCAGTAGATTAGACATGCATGTATTGTATCCCACTTGGCTGTCGCGTGACTGTGGCTAACGCGTAACATGAGCACTCTCACAAGCCACCATCACGTCAGCCAGTGCTGCTGTTACCGCAAGTCTATGCCAGTTGCATCACTCGCTACGGCTCGTGCTACACACGGCTTTAGCAAAAACTCTTACATAACAATATTTATACTAGAAAGAAAAAGAGACGTGTGCTTACGCGTCAATGAGGTTCTCCTCCTTCTTGCCGTCCTTCTTGTCGGCGTCGTCGCCGCTCTGCGCGCCCTGTTTGCCCTTGACGTCGCGGACCTTGCGCGAGTAGAACTCCTGGAGGATCTTGGGCGAGATGCGGTTGAGCGACTCCTTGGGGAAGATGCGGAGGAGGTCCCAAGCAATGTCGAGCGACTCAAAGATGGAGCGCGCCTCGTACGCGCCCTGGCCGACGAACTCCTTCTCGAAGCGGTCGAGGAACTCGAGCGCCAGCTTGTCGTCCGCGCTCAGCGCCTCCTCGCCCACCACGGCCTTCATCGACGCCGCGTCCTTGCCCACGGCGTACTTGGCGTACAGCTGGTTCGAGACGTCGCCGTGGTCCTTGCGCGTGAGCTTCTCGCCAATGGCCGACTTCATCAGACGCGACAGAGACGGAAGCACGTTGATGGGCGGGTAGATCTGGCGGTTGTACAGCTGGCGGTCGACGAAGATCTGGCCCTCCGTGATGTAGCCCGTCAGGTCGGGGATCGGGTGCGTGATGTCGTCGTTCGGCATAGTCAGGATGGGAATCTGCGTAATCGAGCCGTTACGACCCTCGACACGGCCCGCACGCTCGTAGATCGTCGACAGGTCAGTGTACAGGTATCCGGGGTAACCACGGCGACCCGGCACCTCCTCACGAGCGGCAGACACCTCACGGAGCGCATCGGCGTAAGACGACATGTCCGTCATGACGACGAGCACGTGCTTCTCGAGCTGGTACGCAAAGTACTCGGCCGTCGTGAGCGCAAGACGCGGCGTAATGATACGCTCAATCGTGGGGTCAGACGCGAGGTTGATGAACAGCGTAGAGTTCGAGATGGCCCCCGACTCGGCAAAGTCCTGCATGAAGAAGCGCGCAGTCTCCATGTTGACACCCATGGCGGCGAAGACAATCGAGAAGTTGTCCTCGTGTCCGTCGTGCACACCCTTCGTCGCACCAGGGCGCTTGACGAGACCGGCCTGACGACAGATCTGCGCGGCAATCTCGTTGTGGGGAAGACCTGTCACCATTAGTACACCACCGCAATGTCTGCTTGTGTACACGTGCTTGCCATCCAGGGCAATGGCCCCCAGTGGCACAGACTAAGGTAGACTCACCGGAAGCAGAGAAGATGGGGATCTTCTGTCCACGCGCAATCGAGTTCATCGTGTCAATGGTCGAGATACCGGTCTGGATCATCTCCTCGGGGTAGATACGCGAGTACGGGTTGATAGGGGAGCCGTTGATGTCGAGGTAGTCCTCGGCCCAAACACGCGGTCCCTTGTCGATCGGCTGTCCGGAACCGTTGAACACACGACCAAGCATGTCCTCGGACACGGCGAGCTTCATGCTGTCTCCGGAGAAGGACACACGGGTAGCCGAAGTGTCGACACCGGTGGTGCCCTCGAAGACCTGGACGATCGCCTTGTTGCCGGAGACCTCGAGCACCTGTCCACCGCGGGTGGTGCCATCGGGAAGGGTGATCTGGACAATCTCATTGTAGGAGGGGAAGTGGACGTTGTCGAGCACGACGAGAGGACCGTTGACCGCGTTGACGGTACGGTAGTCCATACGAGGCTTGACCGAGTACTCGCGCACGGCGGCGGCCTGGTGTCAGTTGAGAGCTCCAAAGCGCAACTTACGGCGTTGATGGCCGCGAGGTCCTGGTCGCTGATGCGGGGGTCGGCCATCTTCCTTGAGGTTGTTGTGAGGAAGAATGGAGGGGGGGCGATGGAGCTTGGGGAGGGTGGTTAGAGATCGAGCAGCGAGCGATGACGGCGGGGTACACCGTGGCTGGTGATACGGCATGACACACCTCTCAGGATCCGCACACCCCGGCGGTGCTGAGACGTCCGGAAACAACACATCATTTTTCCACGTGGCGTGACAACTGTGATGATCGTCGGCTCGATCGACGAAAGCTGCGTCTACATCGGAGCGTTGCAAACCGAGTAAAGCAACAGAGTAACATGACTATTGTCCTCGCAAGTACAGTCTGCTTGCTCTGCAAGGCGCCCGCCGCATAGATTTGACGACGACCCTCCTCCCCCTGGCCGTCGGAAACATTGCCTTGTCCACCTCAACATTGTCATGTCGTCAACGACACCCTGCGCTTGAACTGAACTCCCCGCAGCCATTCCAAGACGGACCGCGATGGCAGTGCCAAGCTTTGGACGTCCGTCAAGCAGCGATCGAATGCTACCAGTGTTTCTCAGCGTTCTCGCCCTCACGTGGTCAAAATTAACACCCTTATCCACCGTTGCAGGCTCAGCTTACTATCAGCTCACAGCAGGTACCGTCGCCGAATTCCTTGCACCGCAGTGACATACTTGAACCGGGTGTTCTGGAACCCGGTGTTCTGTAGTAGCCCTGCGCAGCCCATCCAGCACGGGAACCTCAAAGTTTTCCTCCGCGGCGACCCACTTCATTTCACCGCTGTCATCTGACTATGGTATCCAGTTCTTTGGAGAGGAATGCAGGGTTTGAAATCGGAAGCGATTTGGGAAGCGAGGCCTCTAATCTTGAAACAAGTTTGCGACGCGTAGCCACAATCCGATAAGAGGGCAGAGAGGAGCTGCGATATCTTGACAACGCTCACTATGCTGTGGACAACTCTTGCTCTACTATCCGTCGCCATTGCCGAGCCCGTCACCTTCCTGTCGGCGGTTCCACCATACACGACATGCATGGAATCGGTGCTGACATGGCAAGGCGGGGCACCGCCGTACGCTGTCAAGGCCAAGGTTGACGGCAACTTTCGCATCATACAGCAACACTGGAACGACACGACCTACAAGTTCGTCGTGGACTCTCAGCCAGGAAGAAGCCTCGACATCTTCATCGAAGACGCGTCTGGGGAGAGTGGGGATCCGGGGCAGAACTCGTTCAAATCAATCATACGATCCAATGAAGGACATACTTGCCCGCTGTACGTGTTCCCGGCGGATACGAACACGTCATGGGCCCCGGCCACCGTCACTGTAACCTCGACTCCCTCGTCTAGCCCGACAGACGAGTCTGCCCAGAGTGGAGGCTCGGGCTCGGGCTCGAAGAGCCGCATTGGAGAGATCCTGGGCATTGTCGGTGGAGTCGTCGGCATCCTCATCATCTTGGGATTACTGTTCTGGATTTGGCATCTGCAGAGGCGGTTGCGGGGGAGGGAGACTCGCATCTATGAGACGGTCGTCGACCACACGGTGCATCCTTACTTCAACATTGAAGAGCCGAGCCCCGTCCACGAGCATGCGCCACTTCCGAGCTCTCATCCTCCGCCTAATGCTAAGATGATGGACATCAACAGGATGCTCGAGCACTCCCCGCGACCCACACTCTCGTCGGCATCTCCACATCATTCTCTGCAAGAGCGGCCTGGGCTGTCGCCCGTCGTATCTTACCCTCTGTCCTCCTCAGCTCCGTTCTCTCCTCTTTCTTCGACTCAGGCGCTACAGGCTCAGCAGCAGTCCCAAGCTCCTCCGCGACAGGCAGACCAGGAGAGCGAGTACGCCGAAGACGGTGGCCCAGCCTTTCCCCCTCCACCACGCACCGTTCACCCGCCCCATTACCGCGACACATGGAAGAGCTGAGCACTGGTTGCGCGGTATTGCCCGGGGAAGCGGGCATCGCTCGACGAGTGGCCCTCTTCACGTGGCTCGCGGCGAGGCTCATCAGCCATGCCTCCTCGGCACCGCGTCTGGTACGCGCGACCACTTGACAACCACTCAACTTGCTGTGCAAGTAGCTGAAGGCTCATGGATTTACGCATATCACTACACCCATATAATATTCGACGTAATGGAGCTTGTTCTCGTAGTCTGAGGCTCCCCCTTTTCAAGCAGCCCAGTCCAAACCAGCAGGAAGCAAAGAATGGCCCCGTGAGGAATCAACAACTGTCGCCATACACTCAGGAAGATAGACGGCCTTTAGCTCTGAGGGAACGACCAGCTTCGCTGTCTTCATCTCGTCTCTCGCAGTTCCAAACCGAAAGTGGCATTGTGAGGATTCAGAGGAAGACCGAATGTCTTCCTTTATTTCGGTTGACGCACTGACGGGGTTTACCTTTTCACCGCGCAGCAAGCCCAGCTCCCACTCCGCCCACCCTCCAAATCCGTCCACCGGCCCGGTAGAAGGTGGACCTCCGGCGGAAGCCAAGACGAGACTGGGCCGTCTGTACTGCAGCATTCTACGATGGAGGCACATTGTTCACGTCTGGAGACGTCGTACATCTCCTAGAGCGACGGCGTCCTCACTGCGTGGTTGCTCGACCTGTTGAGCGGTGGCTCTGCGGTGATTCGGGTTGGAGCCTGTATGCTGGCAGAGAGCTGCATGGCCACAGTATGCAGGGTTGTTAGACGAAGTGGGCAAGACTTGGCTGTGGCTCGTATCGGCATGAGAGTCAGGACACGACAAGCTTAGTTCATGGGAGCAATCACTAGCAGCAGATCGAAAGAGCCTCCGGCACTACGTACGTCAGGGGAATGCCAACTTGCCAACTTGGTACCTCAGCGCAGCATCGCGTCGCAGCACTCCAAGGTCACGCGCGTCGGACTCTTTGGTAATGGGCCCCACCACTGGCTGTTGCCTTATCGACCAGGCGCACGTTCTCGATGCAGGGTGAGTTTAAGCCCATATCTTTACAAACGAGCGAGCTTCTTATACGTCGACAGACTGCTTAGGCAATCTCAGTTTGTGAGGAAGACAGGGGTTGTTTGGCGAGACGGGCAGAGCGGGTGAAGTGCTCCAGGAACACACGGGACACTCCCTATCCAATGCCGATTCCGGAGGTAACGAGTTAAGCTCAACGCTATACATTCATTCAACAGTACACGAACCTATTAACCACTACTCCTATGCTGATGGCCTCTTCGATGTGTCACAGATGGAGTGAGGCTTCTGTCAAGGACCACTGATGCAGTTGCATCCGATCGAGGACATTCAGCAGGATGCAAGGTGGCACGGAAACAAGGTACTATTTGGGCAGGGGTGGCATTCAGGCTGACCTTCACTGAAACATAAGGTTTCGTCGGGTTGCGGCCATCGAGTCATGACCGCCATTACGGCTTGGTGATCTGAGGCAGGCGGCAGACTTTGGGCCAAGTATCATGATGCTCGGGAAGGTGGACGGATACATGAGGTTCACCTAGATATGAAGACTTTCCCAGCTGCAGCCCTGCGTTCTTTCTCCACCTACAATGCTCTGGCTCGCTCTCACCAACGCGGCCACTGTCGCTGCTCAAAACCCGGCTTTCATCGACTTCGATCCGCCTCTCACGCAATGTGTGAAGTCGACAATCACTTGGGAGGGGGGAACACCGCCCTACCTTCTGGGAGCCAGGGTGAACATCGGATCCCTGCGCGATATCAAGAAATACATCAATGACACGAAGCTGGAATGGACGTGTGATTTCCCGGCTGGAACCGAGTTGGAGTTCTATTTGAACGACAGCTCGGGGCAGCCCTATGAGAATGATCGAAAGCGCAAATGGTTGGCGAGGGTGCGGACGAATGCGAACGGCGAGTCATGTCCTATCTGGTGGCCGCCCCTCAAGAAAGCCGACGGCTCCCCGATGCCCATAACCTACACTGTGACCACGACAACGGCCCAGGCTACACCCGGACCTAGCGGTGACACTGCGCAAGACGGAAGCGCCTCGACCACGAAGACGTCGACGAATCACACTGGACAGATTGTGGGCGGGGTTGTTGGAGGAGTGGTCGGACTCTTGATCATTGGAGGGCTGCTGTTCTGGATCTGGCGCTTGCGGAAGCGGCTGCGGGCCAACAGGCGTAACTCGTATGCGAACATTGAGGATCATACCGAAAGTGCTCGCCAAACAACTGTCAATCCGATCGCTGCGAGTGCGCCATCTCGTCCTGCTCCTGAGCCTGTGCAGCCTACTACGCCGGAGCCGACACGCGAGCCCTCACCACCGACCAAGATCATGCAGCTCGACACCATGTATGCGCCGCAGCCATCTCCTTCGGCGTTAGGGTCCGACTCGCCCGGACTATTCGACACCACCACGTCCTCGCGGTCGCCACCGACTCGCTACACCTTGGACGCGACTTCTGCTCGTACATCGACTGTGCCAAACTCGTCTTCCCATGGCCATGCGCAGACATTGTCACCGATCGACGACCAGCGGAGCGAGTACGCCGAGGATGGCGGTCCCGCTTTCCCCTCTTCATCCCGCACGATCCACCCGCCGCAGTACAGCGACACTTGGAAGAGCTGAGCTCATGCTACTTCAGCGTCGGACTGTCAGCTACCCGCCAATCGGCTTCTACCACACCCTGTCCCCTGAACGACCACTTACACATTGTACTTTGATGGGCATGCCACTTGTCGTGTTGTGCCAACGTGGTTCAGAAAAGCCATCATTCGTGGAGAGTCCGGACGAAGGAGCGCTTGGCACTCATGGTCAGCATGTATGGTCAGCTTCCGCAGTTGAGTCATCTGAGTGTCTCAGGCGCAATTCCCTCCCTTTCACGGAACGGAGTGTCTTTTCCCTGATAAGAAGTTCATTCACACAGAGTTGTCTCAAGGCCTGCGAACAACTACACAACGAGGACGGCTGCGAGCTGGCTGTGCCGGCTAGAGACTCTCCGCGAACGTGATGCACTTGGCGCGCAGGTTGCTCTTCTGCCCCTTCTGAAGCGCATTCTTGAGCTGACCTTGGGCGAGGCCAGTCTGGTGTCAGTCACTTTCCGCTTAAAGGCAGTCGCCGTACCAGAGCAGACAGCTCCGCGTAGTTGAGGCCATTCGTCCCACGGTCGAAGATATACTTGACAATCGTGCCGCGTGCGTCGGCGCTCCAATCGCCATTCGCTTCGGTGGTCTTGGCTTTCTTGGGCGAGCGGGTGTTGTTGGAACGCTTTGCCTTACCCTTGCCGCGCGCAGGCGGAGAAGGGGAGGGATCGTAGGAGGAGACGTCGGGCTTCTCTTCGTCGCTGCTGGTGTTGTCCATTTCGTCGGCGGACCTCTTCTGGTCGGGGAAGGCTGATGCTTTAGTGTCTGACGGGGACATGGTTGATGGAGAGTTACTGAGAAGAGAATACACACTGGAATGAACAAAAGAACGGAGGTCAGGAGATCAGTCTGTCTGTTCGCCCGGGACCAGAACTTGCCGCCCCGATTGCGCCCATGTGTAGCATCGAGTATCCTCTACAGAGTTTGCTGATGAGGGCACTGATGATGAGAGTGCCTTACATTCTTACTCCTCTTCCTTCATCAACCTGATGCACCGGTCGCGGATATTGCCAACACGGCCTTTACCGAGCTGGTTGATGAGCTGGCGCTTGCTGAGGCCGAGCTGCGATCAGCTTCACACTTCCGCCCTTCAGCAGCTTACCTCTGTGGCGACCTCACTCAAGTCGAGACTTTTGTAGCCGGCGTCTATCAGCTTTTCGACCAAGAGGGCACGCTTGGCAGCGGTCCACTCTCCATTGGCATCGGCGGAGCCACCGGTCTTCTTGGAGGTGGCAGCGCGCTTCCTGGTGGTGTTCTTCTTCTTGTTGACGGGGGGCTTCTCATCATCCTCAAGCTCGTCGATCTCGACTTCCTCCTCGCCCTCGCTACTGTCCTCGAAGTTCCTCTTGTTCGGTTTCTTCGCAGGGGTCTTGGAAGGACTGAGGTGGCGCCTGGATGCGCTCCGGGTCATTCTGGTGGAATGACTGGCCGTGCTAGCGGCTCCGGGCTTCATGTCGCTTGGAGTCCGTTTTCTTCGAGAGATGGAAGGATTGAGACTTTGACTAGATGAAAGGGCGCGCTTTAACACATAAAAATGATGGTGAAAACGCTTCGTGTACACGGGGCACGGAGGGCGAGGTGTGCCAGAGGAGGGGGGCAGCCGGACGACATGCTGAATATTTTCACGAAAATATGGGTAAAATTAGGAAACTCGCGCCCTCGCGCCTCGCTCTTTCAAGCACACGTCTGCGGGGATAGACTCTCATCGCGGCTACAGAGCATAGCGTCAGGGCTGTGGGTAGTTCCATCCACGTTCTGGGGGCTTTGATAGAGGTCTTCGCACCAGGGAGTGAAAGGCCATAGCCATCACCCCGCAAGTGCTGCTCAATCTGATGTGGCGGCCGTTTGCTGCGGTGAGGACATAGATCCACTTATCCGTTTCTCGCAGGGTTCAGACCACGGTGAGATACCTGTGGTGCGAGATTCCCAGATAGTGGTACGTCGACCCGATCGCGCTCAGGATGAGGAAAGCACGGGCTCTGATGGAAGTGGAGGTCCAGGTTTCATGCATCATCATTGCGTCTTCCCTGTCGCTCAAGCGGGGAAGCAGGATAGATTACGTTCTGAATCTGACGGGTTCTACCGTCTTGCGAGTCTCCGCACTTCGAATGTCTGTCTCTGAGGGCAACGAGAGTGAGGAGGTGGGTTGCCCAGCTGGCAAGCCCATCCTAAAAGTCGCATACGCGCGTTGCGCGGAGGTGGTCGTGGTGCGGGATGATTCTGCGGAACTCGTCGGTCCATAACCCTCTGCGCACGACGGACGACCCTGCAGCTTGATCTCATATGGCACTTCACCTGAAACGAGGCCGCCGCCGACTTGCATTCATCGCTAGGCAGCGTTGACTAAGCGAGCGTCTGTGCGCACCGAAACTGAGTCTAAACGTCTGTTCCACGTCGTCCTGGGAAGGAGGTGAGTCACGTTGGAGGCCGGTGCGGACCACGAGCCATTCTGGGCACCTTCTGGCGCTTCAGCTCCTGAGGCCCTGCAAGCGGGCTGCTATGACACTAAGGCTGAGAGACAGTGACCACTGCGTAAAGCCTGGCCCTTCCTAACCCGAAAGGCGCTGCGCGGGCTGGGTGTCTTCGTCAAGGCCCGGGTCTGGTGCTACGAGAAGTATCGGTACATCGTGATATGGGGAGGATTACAGTGGTGGATTATGCAAACGTGTCTGGGCTGTAGAATTTTGAGTTGGATCGTTTTCGGGAAGAAGCGATCGGTTTCTGAGATCAGCACCTGAAGTTGTCGGTATAACTAACAATAGTACGAGCCAGGGTAAGGGCCAGGAGGGGGCGGCCGCGGGCGAGGGCGAATCGGGGGGTTCTCAATCGGACGAGGGATTCCGGGGATCTCCCAAGTGAAGTGGTCGCTGAAGGAGTCCATTCTGATCTTCCTGGCAGATGGTGGAAGGCGAGGGCGGACGGATATGGATATGGTCGAGGGGACGCGGACGTCGTCGTCTTAAGTACGATGTACAGGTCATCCGAAATTTACTACTTTCTGGGCCGGACGCCAGGGACCGATGCACAGTGATCAGGTCGATAGGGGGATACACACAGATTGCACGGTTCCAGTCCGTGAAGTGCATCTCGACCCTGAGAATGTGAGAGCGCCGTTCGCCGCCTGGGACGTCAAGAAGGAAGAGACGGTTGAGGTTGCGAGATTGCTGGAAGCTTCACAGTGTACGTATGATCACTGGAGATACGCATTGAAGCGCACATCGTCGTATTGGATCACTTGTTGGCCCCCTTGACGGCCTTGATAGCAGTTTGACGGATGTTGGATCGATTGGGTTTGAGCTGATCGACCACTGAGGACTTCGAGACCCCGAGCTGAGTTTAGGATCAGCCTGTCCCAACAGAAACGCAGGAGCCACTCACATCAGCAGCGACCTTCTCCACATCAATGGCCTTGGAGCCCGCTACGATAACCGTCTCGAGTAGAGCAGCGCGCTTCTCGGGGGTCCAATCGGTGCGACCCTTAGACTTGAGGGGATAGGTAGCGGTGTCGGTGCTTCCCATCGTTGCGAGCCTCCTCGCAGTACACCGTGGGTTGAGAGCGAGAGAGCGAAGAGCGGGCGAGAGCCGTCGAGGGTGAGAACAAGACTGCTGCGTGATGCGCCGCTGGTGCTGGCGTCACCGCCTCCCACACAAGACAGTCCGTGTGTCTTGTGTGTATCGACCAGCCCAATGCAACGCCATCAAGCACCATCTTGAGACACTAGCAGCCTCCGCAACAGCCCGTGAAACAGCTGCGTTATCGTTGCCGCCAAAGCCATTGTTTCTTCTCCGTATCCGAGCATGCAAGCGCGATGCTCTGGTCGCTAACCGCATGGCCAACCGGAGATGGTAGAGATTCCGTTTGGGTAGAGGTGCCTGAACTTGGTCGCCTATCAAGGATTACAGAGAGCCTTAAATTCAAGTCTCCAAGGTCATTACTGCGTTTGATTCCGCTAATGGGGCGAGACAACCGTTGCCTGCCGGCTACTTCCACTCCGGTCCCTCCCACTCGTCATCGCCCACTCCCTCTCCACCATCTTTCTCTTCGTTCGACCGCCTGATCACTTCTTCGATTATTCGTAGGACCTCGCTTTATCGTCCTACCCGCTGTTACAACTACCCGAGCGTTGCAGCTCCTTTCGAGTCTCCCCGAGCGACCATTAGGACTGCTCCGTTGCTGCAGCCGCTAAAGCGACAACAATGGCTGACCAGCAAACCTGGCAGCGCCGTGTGCGCCGCCTGCTGCTATTGACGGGCAGTCTCAGCACCGTGTACTTTTTCCTGAACTATTTGGTGGGAAGGATGCGCGATGCTAGAGTCAAGTCCTTGAAAGAGAGAAGAGAGCGAGAAATGTGAGTGACCCTCAAGTCTCAGTCGGCGAACCTCGCGGACTTTTACAAACTTGGACCTCGGTGTTGGGCGCGGTGCGGAGACTGACCAGCACAGGCTGAAAGCGCACTTCAACTCTCTTCTTTCGACCATCAGCTTCACCTTGTATGCGTTACTTCCAACAGTTGAGCCCCAACTCTTTGTCGAGTATCCTGTCGAGGCCACAAGTCAAGCTCTGCAGGCGAAGGTTCGGGGAAGTGCGTCCCCAGCCGACACCGGAACGACCGAGCCTACCCCTGGGTCGACACCGGCCGATTCCCTGCTCTTGGATCCCAACGACAACCCCAGCCAGGATCAATCTGCTTTCACAGTTCCTGCTGCTCCCAACATTCCTTCAATTTCGACGTCCGGAGACCAAGAGTCGTCTCCGGCGAAGCATTTGCCTTCCCAGTCGTCTTCCAACGACAACTCCTCCCCCTCTGCCTCCTCCAACGTACCCCTTCCATCGGACTCAAGCATCGACGACAGGCACAACCTCGTGCAGTCTCTCGCCTCCGTCGGAACGACCGGTGATGCCTCCGAGTCGTGGGCGTCGGAGTTCAGCCGCGATAACGATGACGACGTTCTGACCGCCTCCACCACGAGCCAGCCGATTTCTCTGCCACCGACCGACACAAGCAGTGTCATGCCGAGTCCCTTTTCTGACATCTCCCGTCTGGACTCGAGTCCGCCCGCCAGGATTGAGCGCATCGAGCAGAGAATCGACCCTCGGACCAAGAAGCAGCTCTGGAAGGACCTCAAGACTCAAAGTCAGTGTTCACCACCCGTGAGGATAATGGCAGTCACTAACGAACAGGTTTGTCGCGTGCCTTCGTTACCGTCTACCTCGTTCCGCTCATCTATCTGCTTACCTCGTCTCAATTGACGATTCTCGCCCGAACCCGTTATCTCACCGACGTAAAGACTTCGAATGCCCAGCGTGAGGTCGAGCGGGAGCAGCGGACTGCAGCCCGTAAGCGATCATCGCTGTTCAACTACTTTTCGGTCGAGTCTATGGGTCTGAGCGACTACGTTGAACGCGGCGCCAACGCTGGCGCGTCTCTGGTCCCTTCGTTTGTCAAGGGCTGGTTTGCTCCCCAGAACAACAACACCGTCCCGGCTCTGACCCCTGAGGCTCTTGCTCTCCGTGAGCAGCAGCTCGAAGAGGAACGTGCCGAGGCCGAGCGTCTGTTCCTGACCTATTCCTGGTGGCTCCTCCACGAGGGTTGGCGCACGATCAGCACTCGTGTGGAAACGTCCGTTAATCACGTTTTCGGCGGGGTCCCTCTCAAGCGCGAAATCACCCCTGAGACCTGGGCCGAGCTCGTCCGCGAGATTAGAGCACTCGTCGAGACGGACGTGCCTGAAGATGAGGACGAGAACCACAGCAAGCCCTCGGGCCACTCGAAGCCCCGACTCTTCGACTTCACCCCACTTGTTGTTCCGCCCACGCCTTTGCCGCCCACGTACAACGAGTGCCCGCTGCCGGTGACGCCCGAGGGCAGGTACCTGCAGTCGCTCCTGGACCAGACGCGCGAGCACGTCGGTAGTGCCGACGCTCGCCTTCTCCTGGACCGCGGAGTATCGGCCATGTTCTCGAGCCTGTCCGACAGCCTCTTTGCCGACGGACAGAGCCGGCGCCTTGCTGAGCTCTTGCCCGAGCTGAACGCATGGTCGCGCGGAGTCTGGGAGGGTGTCCCTGACGGAGGGGTCGAGTCGCTGCTCTCCCTTCCCGAGTTCGAGGCCTTCACGGCTCTCATCTTTGGTGACTGGGCCCCCAGGGATGACGGGTCCGCCGACGTTGCGGTGGCCTGTTCGCAGTGAGTGGAGTGGGATCAAAAGTGGTAATACAGATAGCATGCATTCATCGTCAGCAGTCCGAGTCACCAGCGACACCGCCACCTTGCTGGGGCCTGAGCGTCTGCAAATCCTGATCCCGTACAGCATCACGTCGAGGTCGACATCGTATCACAGCTTCACGCAGACTTGATCACCACAAAATACCACAGTGTTCGCGCCGCGGTGTTAAAATATAGATGTCAAGAGCTCAAAGCCTGAGGGCCAACCACGTCCAGCGCTGTGAGCCAAGGGCACCACCAGTCGTTGCCTATGAGGCTATAGCTCGCGGTGCAGACCTCGTGGGACTTGATCACCTCCGTTGAACTTTCTTCCAGCGACTGACGACTGCTGACCGCTGACCTCGTCTCAAGCTCATCCCCGATGGCAGTTTGTTTCAAAAGTCTCCGCCCGGCGGTCAGCTCGACGTATCGCCCCATGCTGATACTTGATAGGGGCCTTCCCAGATCGGTCCCGATCCGCGGTTCAGCACCGCTAGCCTTGCCCAACGACGGAGACAGAGCGTAAGGAGCAAACCAGAGTGGGAGGCATTGCCGGCGCCGCCGACATGCACAGCTCATCGACACAGACAGGCAACAACTGGCTTCGCAAAACTACAGTATAAATGACAGTCCAGGAAGGCCATGGTGGGGCATCTCCGTCTTCTCCCACTTCCACTCTCTCAAACGAAACTCCGCAAAGCACCAGTGTCTTTCACCCCTCTAACCAACAAGTAAGCTGGCCAACCCATAGATACTAACGCAAGATATGCGTCTCGCTCTCCTTTTCACCATCGCCTGCGCCGCCGCTGCGCCCATCGACATTCCCATCGGTGCCGTTCTCCCCGGTCCTCTGGCCGGTGCGGTCGCCATGAACCCCCATCGCGATGCCGCCGCTGTCCCCGTCTCGCAGGACACCACTGGCGGTGGCCCCACTAGCCTCGAATCTAGTGGTGGAGGCCCGAGCAACAATGGTCTCGGCCTCGAGCAGGGCGGCATGAGGGGCGTGCCTGAGGCGATCAAGAACGACATGAAGCAGATCTCTGGCTAAACCAAGGCACATCCGATGGTCGTTGACAGCGCAAAAGCGCAACGTCTTCGAGCTTGTGGCAAAGGAAGGCGGCCGTAAGCAGATATGCAGAAGTGTGCATAGCATGGTTGTGCGCCAGACGCGGTACACCGTTTGTCGGGTGAAGGTTTGCTTGGAGGCGGGAATGCGGCGTGCGACTATGGCTCATTGTCCTCACCATGCCTTTCCTCGTCAGTGTACAGTTCCTACTCACGGGCAGTGTGTAACCACAGATCGCTGACCGAACGAAGTGAACCGGTTCATCCCGCATGCCCCGTAAACGCTTCAGAAGAACGTTCCTAGATCTGAGTCGCTCTTTCGCGCTTGGACGTGGCGGTGGAAGCGAGATCGTTTCGCATCGCCGCGGGGCGCGTCGCACTGCTCAATGGAGTGTCTCACGATGATCGCCGCTGGTATAAAGGAACGCTGGCGCACTCATTCACTCATCAACATTGTCTTCCTCAGTTCGCTTCTACCTCCCTCACGCTCATTCGCTCGACACTCCTAACTACTCCAAGATCTCAGTGGCCTCAGTGGGTTACCCCTGAGGACCTGTGGACTAACAGACACCAGACCATGCTCTTCGGTACACTTCTCGCCCTCGTTTGCGCCTCCGCTGCGACCGCTGCGCCCCTCCTCGCTCGCCAGGTTTCTCCCACCTACCCTGACGGCTCGATCGCTCCCGTCCAGCCCGCCGGTGACCAGACTGGCGCGCTGCAGGGCATGATGGGCGGCCCCATGAACCCCGTCGAGAACGGCGCCACCGCCGATGCCCAGATGGAGTCTCTTGCTGATGCCATCAAGAACCTTCAGGAGGTCAACGACCTTTTTGACAAGTTCATCAAGAAGGGCAAGGACACCGCCCAGGGTAGCATCTGAGGTCGTTAGGAAGCTGGCCTGATGCAAGGATGCAGGTAGACGAAAGCGCGCTGCCTTCCTCACGACGGTCTACTAACCTTCCCACAAAGCCACGAGCAAACTGAAAGAGCCCAGGCCTTGGAAAGACCCGCCAGTACACGGCAGTCCACTCACCCCCTTGCGCCCTTCTCTAACCAGACAGATATGCCACCGCTCTGCAAGTCGAGGCCCACGAGCTCGCTAACGCAGCCCGCCTATCCGCGTCCGATCACAGTTCGCCCCAAATAGCCCTCGCCTCCTACGCGGATCACCGCTAACTCGCTCCCTTCGCCTCGTCCGCTTGGCTTCCGAGGAGAGCCCGGATGTCTGGCTGGAGTCTGGCTCGGAGCACCAATGGTCCAGGTCGATCGGGAAGAGTGACGCACGGCTAGGTCACCGATCATCGGTCCATCCTTGTCGAGGGCTCGAGGGTCACTTAGGAGACGGTCGGTGGTATATGAACAAACCGCGAACGGTCGACAGAATCAGCATCTCTCCCGCTTTCTCCATCACCAGCGACAACGCTCGAAGTACCTACAAACCACACCTCCGGCACCACAGCAAACCACCACAACCAGTGAGTTACACCACGATGTTCTGCACACAACTGACCGGCAGATCATGCTGTTCGCTACTCTCCTCACTCTCGCGTGCGCCGCCGCCACCCCCGTCCTCGTCGAGCGCGACGCCTCCGCCAACGTTGAGCGTGCGGACACTCTCGCCGCCGTCCAGCGCCGCGAGGCCATGACCGACGCTGCCATCAACTTCAAGGCCCGCGCCGAGGCGAGGCAGCACCAAGCCCTCCGCGAGCGCGAGGCCCAGCGCCCCCGCCCCAAGCAGAACGTCCGCTCCCCCGAGGAGGTCTGAGCCTGCGCCGCCAACACACCTCGGTCACTGGCTGTGCCACACCGTTCTCGTACTCGTTCATAGACAAAGTCGTAGATGTGACGTATGTCTCGTCCCGCTGCATGAATATGTATGAAGAATGTACATAGATGCGGTGATCTCAGCACACTACTACTTGGGGCCATCCATGCCATCCAGGAGCTGCGAGCTCCGTCGGTTCGTCGACCCTTGTCGAGGGAAGCTGGTCGTGGATACAACAACACTGTGTCCAGCGTCCTACCAACCTGCCTGTGATCGACGATTCCAGGTCCATGATCGGGGAAGGCGCAGAGGCGTCTCCACGGCTCCGAATATAGCGGCTACGGACTTGACGTGCCGCACACGCCCTCTTCTCCACCCACTTGCGTCGAAGGCAACACTCAATAAATTTGGAGACTGACTTTGAGTGCCCGTACCTGCACTACTTACTCGCATACGCCTTCTCGCACTCTCGATGGCCCTCGATCCCATCAACTAGCGGATGTCGGATCCTGGCATTGGCGAATCTAGTTCGCCTGATTTCAGTCCCGGCCTCCATGGGGCTTACGCCTTCCCTCCTTGCTCTGCACCAGAGCACTCATCGGAACCTCAAGACACATGCTGCGTTGCGCTAGCCGCTCACGGACCACGGACAATCCACACCCTCTGCATCGGCTGCAGCTCGACCATATCGACCAGAGGAGCAGCTTGGAGAAACATGAGCTCGCCCTAGATCCCGATTGACGCCCCGGATCGACTAATGAAGCTGGGTCTACCGCAGCCGATGGCCAACACGGCCAGGCCGGTCTTGAGCTGTCCAGTCCTTGCAAGCGTCAACAAAGGATCTACACAAGGTTCAGCACGGCCGATGCAGTCACTCGGAGCTCGATGTTTACAGCTATAAGAAGAGTTAAGGAGAACCATGGGCCCTCAGCAGCAAACGACCCCAACCTCATCCGAAGCTCCACCACCAACACTCATCAGCCCGCTCCTTCAACTTCGATCAGTAAGTTACTCCGCTGACCAGCGACTGACACCAGGCTATGCTCTTCGCTACTCTCCTCACCGTTGCGTGCGCCGCAGCCCTTCCCCTCAATTTCCAGGGTAACGACGCCGCTGCCGCCCTTCCTCGTGCCGTCCTCGGCGAGGTCACCATCAACCGCGCCGTTGGTTCCAACGTCATGCAGAGCAGCCACCACGGCAAGCGTCAAGACACCCCTCCCAGCCCCGACGAGGTTCTCCAGACCTACCCTTCCTTCAAGTTCGGCCTGCCGCCCTTCCAGCAGCAGGCCCTCTTGGACCTCCTGCGTGCCATGAGCCAGGTCAGATATGACAGCGCTGCCGCTACAGCTGAGGCCCGCATGCGCTTCTGCTCCCGCGCCTTCCCCGCCGGCGACACTCTCGACAAGCGCCAGGATCCCATCAAGCCGCCCGAGGCTGCTCTCATTGATCTCAACCTTCCCGAGCTTGTCCCTGCCTCGCCTGGTGTGCAGCCTGTGATCCCCGACCGCCCCGGTTCCGGCCCTCCCACCCCTCAGGTGGACGTCAGCGTGCCCGTCGACAAGATCATCGAGGACACCCGCAACAGGATGAAGGAGGCGCTCGAGAGGCTTCACTCTGGCAACTCGATCAATGACGCGTACAAGTACATGCAGGAGATTGCCGACGCGATGGCCAAGCTCTCTGCACTCGCGGTCCTCCAGGCTTCTGCTCACATGAAGGTCAGCTCCCCCGCCCCCGAGGAGGTGTAGGCGACTCATGAGTCATGTACAGTCGCCACTTTCCCGGAACCTGTTTCATAGTCAGTTGTAATGTTAGTAGAACAGCCAGGCTTCGGCATGACCGCCCAGCACGTTCGCATGTATATTGGTTGTGCATTGTTCTATAATAGGACTGCCGGACTCGGGTCCAGCTGCGGGGTTGGATGCGTGGGCTGTCGATCCTTATTGTGCATACAGAGAAGATCGGCGATCGGGCTCCGTCAGCCACGAAGCCCTGCTGACAGGACTCGGCGGCATGAATGTTCAAATCAATCCCAGCGATTGGTGATGCCAGGGCTGAGCTGAGCTGAGGAGAGGGCCTCATGGTAGGCTCTGACCACTGGCATGCCAGTAAGCTGTCGCAGCAGACGTGGGCACCGGACACCGAAGCGGCGGACCCTGGGGCCGGGCCATCACCTGCAGTGGATTGTGCGTCAGTGACTGGGCGGATTGGGTGCGGACGTGCGGGGGCTCATTGCTCCAAGCCTCTCGCACTCGGTCACTTGCGGAGATAAGATGTCCTGGGCGATCCTGGGCTGGCGGCCATGACGTAAGTGGGGGGCCACAATACGGGGCTATCGTGCCTCCGTCTGCGTATCGCCTAGGCTGAGCTGCGACTGCGGCTGAGCGGCTGGGGTAATAATCCGTGAGTCGGCGATGCTAAGTAGGAAGAGTTAAAGCGATGCATTTGAGAGCTGTGTGTGTCTGATACTTTAGTCGAACCTAGCGAGGCACCGCGGCACCCTACAGTACGCCTTCCAATTCCATTTCGCCTCATCTTGCTTGTTGACAGTGTCCACTCTTCGCCCCTCATCTACACACTGCACACCAACCCAACTGTTCCGCCCGATTCTCGCGCACATCGCCCTCCTTCCGCACACCCAGCATCAGAACGGCCACCTTCACCAGCGATATCATCCTTTCTCTCTGCTGTCCACACTCTTCCAACTGCATCACCTTCGTTCACACTTTCCCGCGACTTGCCACCACTTCGACTTCATTCCCCTATCAACTGGCCTTGGCACCCCTTATACCAGCTCCACCGCCCGCCGGTAACCGACCATGCAGCTCACACTGTCGCCGACTGAGCTGCTCGTCACCGCCCTGACGCATTTCCGAGCAGCGCTCCCCGAGCCGCGCGAGCCGCATGTCCTCGACGTGCTTATGGGCCTCGGCTTGATTGCGCTCACCATCCTCGCCCTTGTTCCGCCGCCCACGACCACCGTCCGAGTCTTCCGCGCTGCACTTGCGCCCCTCATCTGCTTCGGCTGGATGTACCTCAGCTATGTCCCTCTTCTTCTGACGCCAAAAGAGCGTTGGGGAGCAGGGATCCTCTTCGGTGAGTACCAACCAGTGGCTGGGCGCGCCTGCGTGGGCCAGCGCCAGTTTTCAGTCGGCGGCCGGTCCGGAATGTCTGTCCGCCGACCGTTGTGTCACATGAGGTGTTTCGCACTTCGACAACGCGTATGCAGATGAAGCTGACCTGCACCAGTCATGTTCTCGTTCCGCACGCTGGAGATGCTAGTCATGACGCCGCCCGAGCATTCCGTCTGGCGCGTCCGCAATGGCGTCCCGGAGCCAATCCCCGAGCCCTACACCCTCAAGAAGCTCGACTGGGCCAACTCGCTCGTCTGGAGCTGGCGCGGTGTCGGGTGGAGTTTCAGCGCGCCCCTCTGCGCTTCTCAGCTCAAGGTCACGCGCGAGCTGTCCCGGAAGAAGTACATCATTCGCCGCCTGATCAACGGCGCGGTTGCGTATCTGCTCGACGACGCGCTGGGCGCCCTCATGCGCCGCGCTGCTCCGGACTTCTTCATCACGAACCAGATCAAGTACTATGACCTCTCGCAGCTCGAGCGCGGCATGTACAGCACCATGGTCGTTGTGCGCACCGTGTGCATTCTCGAGTTCAGCCATGTCGCTGCTTCGCTCGTCTTTGTTTCTCTCGGCGCCTGGCTCGGCGACCACGAGCTTCTGTCCCCTTGGGGATGGCCGCCCATGTTTGCCAGCCTCCGCGAGATCTTCTCTCACCCGGGTATCGGCTACCTCTGGGCTAGGGTAAGCTGTATCGTTGGTGTTCAAGCTAACGGCAGGCATGGCAGCAGTACAACCGGCGCATGCTCCACGTCTGGGGTTGGGTGCTCATTGGCGAGAAGCTGCTTGGTCTTCCCGTGTCCGGTGTCGCTAGTTTAGCGTCCAAGGCTCAGCCGCCGCAGGCCAAGGTTCTCGAGGCGGTAACGGTCATGAACGACCAGGACAAGAAGGAGCTCAGCGGAACCGTGGACCAGGGCGGCGATGACGCCAGCGCGACGCTGCGGAAGCGCAAGACGACGCTCCTCGAGGTGTCGGAGCCGGATACGGCGCCAGCTACCCCTGTCTCTGGCCGCGTCTCGCCGTCGAACCCGCTGCCCAAGCCGACCAAGGAGAAGAAGACGCCCGACGTTGCCGCGAATCTGATCAAGTCCGCGATCACCTTCACGCTCTCGGGTCTGCACCACGACTGCTCCTCCCTCCTCCTGCTGCTCGACAAGATGGGTCGTGGCGAGAAGGAGCTCCCTCTGGGCCTCATGGTCACGCCATTCTTCATGATCCAGCCTCTCGGCTTGGTAGTCGAGGCAATCGTGAAGCGCCGCTGGCGCTCTGTCCGCAAGACGCTCCCGCTGCCCGAGACTGCGCTGCGTGTCATCGAATTCGTCATTGGCAACACCTGGACCTGGGTCTGGCTCGGCTGGACGGCACGCTGGTACGTCCGCTGCCTGTCCGAGATTGCCGCGTACCAGCCGTTCCCGAACAAGCCCATCTTCAGCATCACCGAGCTCGCGTGGGACTACTTCCACGACGTTGTCGTGGGCACCCCCGGCGCCGCGGGCGCGAACGCGACCATGGGCCCGGCGCCTGTTGCCCCCGTTGCGCCGTTCCAGGCTGTTTAGATTTCTCAAGACTGAAGGACCGTTCTCTTTTGTTCTCTTAGCATTCATCATTTCCAAAGTCATCGCAACATCTCAAGAAACCCAAGTATATCGAGATTTCCTGTATCCTGATTCCCCCCATTCTGTGTCGCATAGGTTTCCATTCATTGTTATGCATTAGTTGTCCCACACCCCGTCCTCGCCACCGTGTAAGCTATGCTCTCGATCTGCTCATGGCTCATGTCAGGGGACGTCGCGCTTGGTGCTCCACACTCCCGAACGCAAGGCCCCACGCAAACCCAAGAGCTGGCAGACGCTGACGAGTTGTTTCTGCTACGTACGGCTGTGCGCAGCCCATAGAGAAAGTCAGGCGACCAAGTCCAACCCGAGCTATTCCAGTCTCACGGACCGGTCCTAACACTATAACAGTGGCCCTGTGGGTTGCCCCAAAGGTCCGGAGTACCTGGAGTACCTGATCACCAGTGCGATGCAGTCATCGGCATGTGCGCAGAGAGGCACAGCGCATGGTCCATCAGGCCGTCAGGAGCCCAACAAGTGTCATATGACCAGCTTGACCAGCTGGAGGTGAAAGAAGTCCGGCTGTCTAGAGTTTAGGACGTTAGGACGGGTCTAAGGCCGATCGAGTGTCTCGGACGTCATAGATCGGAACGGGCCGGACTGGCCCGGTGTCGGCGGGGTTCCCGGACTTGTGGGACCGAGATGGCCCCGCGTGTCCCGTACTGCTCGCCTCTCAGCAATTCTCTTACCGAGACCACCTGCAGTTGTTAGGTTGCCTGTTGCAGAGCTTTGGAGCTCGAGACGCTGTGCCAAAGTCTTGGCTCGCCACTCTGTGCGGTAGAGGATAGGCACGTCAGATGACGAATAGGCGCAAAAGCTGTGCGGATGCCTGGTGGCGTGCCTGTGACCACGTGGTGGACATGGCCGCCCGACTCCGCCGCCCGCGCTCAGGCCGAGGCTTCTACGCAATCTGAGCACAGCGTCAAGGTCGTACTCGCCATCTCCGACGCGCTCTCCGCAATCCCACTGCGCCCTCTCGTCTTCTCCCTACGGCCCTACGCCTTCCCTCTCTAGACCGGCTTCACCCTCCCCAGTCCCCTTATCCTTCTTCCTCCCTTCCTCCCTTCCTCCCTTCCGACTTCCCCAACCCCAATTCCAACAGCATGGCGCACCTCCTCAGCAAGACGCTCGACCCGCTCCTCGGCGTCTTCACAGGCTTCCTCGCCTACTACCTGCACGAGACGAACCCGCGCACCGCCCCGCCGCCAGGACACAGCATGAAGGAGCTGATTCAGTGGCAGTGGGAGCACTCGAAGCGGAAGCGGGACGAGGCGGCTGCCGCTGCGTCGGCTGGGGAAAACGCAGAGCTCGACGCGGTCAGGAAGGAGTTTGAGGCGGCTGCTGCGCCTGTGGTTGCGTCGAGTGCTGTTGGACAGCAGGGACAGCAGCAGGGACAGCAGCAGGGACAACAGACGCAGCAGACTCAGGCTCAGAGTCAGCCGCAGGGCCAGGTCGCTCAGGCTGTTGCGCAGTCTAAGAAGACGGAGGACCGCGCTGTCTAATCACAGAGAGAGACGAACATCATCAGTATGTGCAACCGACCAGGAGAGGATCTAAACAACAGTGCATACACCGATCACCGCACGCGCACACCGTGCTGGATACGAGGACCCCAGCTATGTATTTGTATTAATGCCAAGCAAGATTAGAGGAACAGAACAAGAGTGATTGGGAGAGGAGGACATTGAGGAACGGGAGAGAGTCCAAGGGAGTTTGGAGAAGACGCAGAGATCAGAAAGAAGATAGAGGATTCCAGAGTTGGAGTAAAGAGACACAGAGTCAGCACTCGATCAACAACACTAACGATAGACTTACCCGCGGAACTTCTTGGGAGGCTTCGGGGGCTGGATGAACGAGCTCGGCTTGTCGCCCTGCGAGTAGCGCGAGAACGCCCACAGAACGTACCTGATGTTAGCTTGACTGGGATACAACGCTGTGAGCAGCAGGAAAGAAAGGAGGAGCAGAGTTTGAAAACCGCCTAGACGCTGTGTGCTGGAATAGGATAACCTGGGCAGGGCAAGGTGCGCTGCGAACTTGGGGCAGCGCTCGTCTTCCACTTCGACAATAGCGGCATGTGGTCCAGTTCCTTTCGGGAGCTGAGCAGGAAGGTGTCCAAGGCCCGGATCAAAGAGGCAAGGTGCCGCTGTCCGGCCAAAACTATTCCCTTCGGCAGGCTCTAGGATCCTCTTCCCGCCCTCATCGCCCGTTGCAGCCGTCCATGAGCTGCGCTACCGTTCTTTCTCCAGTTCCAACATGATGGCAAGCAACCCCTCAGTCTCTACGCTTTGCCCGTCCATAACTCTTCGCCGGAAGAGAGTAGCCCGTTCAGAAGCAGGCTTCCTTCGACCGATCGCGATGTTGCTCTTCTTCTCTTTCCCTGCGTAAACTTGTTGAGGTTCACTCACTTGCGCTCCCTAATACTCAGACCGGCATTTCCAAGCGGGCCTTTTGATCCCTGCATCCACAGCTCGTTCAGCGCATCCCAAGTCTCCGCCTTCTCGGCGAGCTTCGTGTCGGCGTTGCGGCCAATCTTGGCGAGCAGGTCAGCAGGGGTGGCGACCTCAGCTGCGATGTCAGCGGTATAATTCAATGTGTGGCTTCGTCATAGCTGTCCTGCGTAGCCTTACGCTTCTCCTCTCCGGGACGTTGAAGCCGGACCAGTCCGAAAGCAGATTCGGAGGCGAGGAAGGCGAAAACAAGGCGCAGGAGTACCTCTAGCACTCACCAGAAGCCTGCATGGGCTGCTTAACGAGCGCTCGGGCGCTGGTGCTGAATGCCCTCCTTGAAGTCGAGGCGAAGAGCGAGATCATGGCTGGTCGTGTGGTGTCGTCCGAACGAAAGGACCGTTAATCTCGAGCAGATCGTGAAACGGAGGACGGCGCTTCGGAAATCGTCAGCCTGACACTCGGACGGAAGACCACGTTTTATCCCTATGGCATGCCAGGCTGTCTACTCATCCTAGATGTCGATTACAAGTCATCCTAATGGGCGCTCGGCAATGGGCAAGTGCAATTTGATCCCGCAGCTAATGGGATGAAAAATGTGAGTGAGGGAAGGCGGGAAGCAATCGTTCGTGACGGCTTTCACGACATGAGGTTCACGTGCATGGTCATTGTTCATGTCGTTGCGCATGGCGGGCCTCAGCATGCCGCTGATCTCACGAGCGCCGCGCTTGTTGATGTTACTTGTTGTTGTTGGAACGAGCTCAAAGAACGCTTCAAAATGTCTCTGATCGCCCCCGCATCCGCCTCAAAGCTGGCCCTAAACTGGGACCGTGACGGAATTTCTCCCGTTGTCCGCTTCTCAGTCCACACATTACTCACACTTCGCTACTCCCGCTCATATCACTCACGAGGGCAGCAGGCGGCAGAGCAATGAGCACGGCTGCCTCGCCTTCAGGCCCTTCAACGCCGACACCTTTCTCTCCGTCCACTGCTCCGGGCAGCTCGGCTCAGACGCCTAATCCCCATGCACAGCAGCGACCGCGGCAACCTTCGACTACTGCGTCACCGGCCGCTACGCCCAGTCAACCGAACACGCCTGCCGCGCCGGCACCGCAACCGCTCCCAACGCAAGCGCCGCCACCACCACCGGAACCTGATTACGCTCCCATTACTGCAGTGAAGAGGAAACGCTTGCAGGATACTGGCTACTCGCCTGCTGAGATCGCAGAGGTCGAGAGCAGGGCTGCTGCGTAAGTTTTGTTTTGAAGTTGCCCGAAGGGTGGTCTGCTGACATTGCGATCCGCCGTTCTCGAACACCAACTGCCCACTTGCGATCTCCCAATGACGTTCACACCAATCGTGTTATCTGACTTGTGCATCATGACTCCCTATCTCGCCCCGTACTGCTACGTGTTACTCTGCGCTCAACCTTCGGCCGTGTCCTAGCTTCGACCTGGCCCTGGCGCTTGACCAAGATGCGGTCCTGAACCCGCCGAAGAAGCCCAAGGCGTTTACGAGCTTTGGAGACGCCGTGGAGCAACTCCTGCCGTATCATGTGTTCCAGATCCACGACGACGACCTCTTGACAGAGGACAAGCGCACGCCGCAACAGGATGCGCTCGGTGAGTGCCGATCATGGACCGCCATGGTTGACCGACAGAGCTCCAGCAGTCAAAGGATCTTGTCGATCGCATCGCTGGCATTCGCACTCGCTTTACCGATCTTCGACGACGGGAGGGACACGTAAGTTCACTCTCGAACGAAGAACTGACAAGGCAGCATGCGTCCGACCTTCCCTCTTTGATCACCCTGCTGCAGGCTTCGACCCAGGTCGTCCGCGAGGAGATGCAGGGCGTTCAGGCCGAGCTACGAACGGTCCGCCAGCAGTGGGACGTTATCGATGCCGAGAACCGTCGGAAGCGCCAAGCGATTGAGGAAGCTCAGCGGAAAGAGCGCGAGGCGCGTGAGGCTGCCGAGCGAGCCCGACAGGCAGAGATTCGGAGACAGCAGTTACTCGTGGCCGAGCGAGAGCGACTGGCGAGGCTGCAGCAGGCGAATGCGTTGCAACAGCAACAGCAACAACAGGCTGCAGCGGCAGCTGCAGCTGCTCCACCTGCAACTACACCCGTGCCAGTGGCCGCGGCTCCAGGCACGCCAGCTCCAGCAGTTGCCCCGGCTGGGGTTGGAGTTCCTGCTGGCACTCCCGTAGCGACGACGACGGCATCACCGGCACCAGGCACCCCAACCGCTGTCCGAGGACGACCTCGCGGACGACCTCGGGGAAGTGGTCGGGGAGGAGTGCGACCTCCTGTAACCCCACATATCGCCTCGCCCTCGACACCGGGTGCGCGCCCGGCTACGCCAGCGACGACGGCCGCCAAGCAGCCTGTTATCATCACTGTGGCGATGTGAGTAGCAGAGAAATGGAGACTGTAATTGAAGTGACAACCTTAACTGACTTATGCAGGGCTACGGTGCAACAATTCGTGAACCACGGCATTCTCGTGATTCCACCAGTTCCCGGCGGACCCAAGCCGCCAGCGTCCGTCGTGAGAACTAGCGAGGACAAAAAGCAGGTTATTTTGTCCATGTGAGTCTGAAACACGGTTTGGGGTGGCGCCCGATGAAGCCCTTTGCTGGAATGTCAAAAGCTGACTGGTTCTAGCGATCTTGGAGCGTGTAATCAGGCTCAGCTGCAAGCTTTGGCTCGAATTCTGGGAGTGCACAACAAGCTTCCAGGAGCCAGTCCCGGGGCTGTCGGTGCAGCACCTGCTGCAGGCACGGCCGGTACTAGCGCGCCGAGTACAAATGCAGCCGCGGCTGGCGCGGCGGCAGGAGCGGCAGCTGACGCAGCTGCGGGCGGTTCCAATGCATCAACGGCACAGGCGGGAGGTGGTGGCGTGCCGACTGCCCCCGCTGCCCCCAACGGACCAAGCGTTGGTGCGGCGACACCGAGCAATGCTGCAGCCAGCGGCTCTGTGACGCCAGGGACCGCCAATGCCGCCGGGTCGGGGAGCGGGCAGTAGGAGAAGCGCCTCGGGGCTGATCACTGAGGGTCTCGGTGCCAGATTAGAGCCACATTACAGGCTGGCGGGCGACGGGCCTATGGGGTACGATAGAATGACGTGAAGAGTGCGCAGAAGGGGAGGGGAATGAGTAATTCGAGCGGCTGCGTACGTGGCTGCAGTCGCTTCTGTAGATGTGCATGTGTAGCAATTCAGCATCTTTGCGTATCAGAGACAAGCTTTAATGTGCTGTTACAGGTTGAATGAGGTGCTGCTCGTTGGAAGGTTCAGTGTTCAGACCCAAAAAACCGGCCATGAGTGGATCAAAGTGCGCAGACATGGCGACGAGGAGAGCAAGCCCGGCCAAGAGAAGAGGACGACGCCTTGCAGCTCAGGCTCATCGGGTTCACGATAGTGGCTCGGGTTGGTGGGTGAATGCAGCAGTCAAGAGGGGACCAAGGGATCGGGAACGAGGGATTTCAAGGGTCGGTGACAAGGCGGGAACCGGCGCGCGCGGCGAGGGCGGCGCGGTGAACGGCGCTAGCCAGCAAGCCAGGGGCGAGGAGGGAAGGACGAGAAAAAATTAGACAAGGTTTCAAGGGTCCTTTGTGACACTGATTAGGACGTGGCCATGAGCCAACGGACTATTGGACGGAACTAGACTATGCCGCTTCAGCCCCTCAGGTCTGCTGCGGCCCACCAAGGCGCTACGCAGGTACACAGGGTGGCCGTGGAGCGTGTTTAGAGCGTGCCGAGTGATCAACATGCGACACGGCTCAAGCAAGTCACCAGTCTCCTAGATGAGCACTCCAAAGCCTACCGGTATACCATTACGCTCCCAGATGTGCATACGTGCGACGCAAATACGCTTTGCTGCTCGGGGTGATGACGGCCCTGGCACCCCGATGCAAGCGTGTAATCCCAAGATTAGAAACAGGAGATGCTCAAGGGCACACGAATTGCATGCAAACGGGCGGTCACTGGCTGCGCTGGGCGCTGGGTCTGCGATCGCTGGCGCAGGCTAGGCTGGCTGGGCTGGCTGGGCTGGCTGGCTGGGCTCTGGCTGACAGCCCAGAGCAGGAACGCAGCCCGCAGCCCGCGCCGCTGCCCGTCTGCCCGTGCACCTGGCCTGCACCTGGATGAGGATTGAGGAATCCAGCGCGCTAGCCCCGGCGCAGGCCCGGCAGGACGGGCAGACGGCAGACCTGAGAGCAGAGGACCCGCCCGCCCACACACACGGCACACGGCTTCACACTCAATACTCGTAACCTTAGACTTCAAACAAAGATCCTTCGATCCACCACACGCCAGGTGCCCAGACTTTATTTCTCACAGGACGGCCCCTTTCACTCCTCTTATCTTCCTTCCTTCTATTTTTCCCTTTCCTCCCCTCTCATCTCTCGATCACCGACGAACCGCCCCTCGTCACCACCAACACTTGCATACTCACTACATCCTCAAGCATCCATCCCCCGCACGAGAACCCACACCTCACAAGACGTGGACCACCACCCAGGCCGATCCATCTATAAACGGCTCAAATTCCTAATTCGCTATTGATACTCTCTTCCTCCCTTAACCAACCACATCACCGCAACCCCACATGTCTAAGCCCTACTCTGGCTCCCCTAGCCTCAGTCGCTCAGGTTCGCCTCCTCTTCTTCGCTCAGCATCAAGCTCCAGCATTTACTCCAACCAGGCCGAACGCCGCACCGACGACGAAAAGACCATGGCCAACCTCGGCGGCGCTCCCCGTCCTGCCTCGCCGACGCGCGAGAAGGAGCAGGCTCCCCACACACCCAGCAGCAGGGAACAGATCCTCCCGATTCTCAACTACTGTGCTGCCTCCATCATGATGACCGTCGTGAACAAGGTGAGTTACCATTGCAGTCCTTGCACTGCTGCGCGTTTTCATGTTTCATCGCGCCGCGTGCGGCCGACGTAGCTGCCCAGAAAAACGGAGGGCTACTGCGGGCCGGTGGCGAGTGGTGCTTTTGGCGTTTCCATCCAGACGCGCTATGCAGGCCCCGACCGAGCTGTCAATACGTGTCACCCGTTGCCCGCCACCGCCGTCCCATGCATCGTCCTGCCCGATGAGCTCGCTAACACCCTCCGCAGTACGTGGTCTCGGGCGCCAACTTCACGATGACGTTCCTGCTCCTCTGTATCCAGTCGGCCGTGTGCGTGCTGGCCGTTGGAACCGTGAAGCGTCTCGGTCTCATCACTTGTGAGTTGCGCGCGCCTGCGCTCTGAAACAACCGCCAGAAGGCAATATGCTGACATCACCAGTCCGCGACTTTGACATGAAGGATGCCAAGGCTTGGTTCCCCATCTCCTGCCTGCTTGTCGCCGTCATCTACACCGGCTCCAAGTCGCTCCAGTTCCTGTCTATCCCGGTCTACACGTGTGTACCAGCAGCTACGGCATCTGAATCGATAGCTGACGTTTCGCAGCATCTTCAAGAACCTCACGATCATTCTGATCGCCTACGGCGAGGTCTTCATGTTCAGCGGCCACGTCACGCCGCTGACGCTCGTCTCGTTCGCTCTCATGGTCGGCTCGTCGGTCATTGCTGCCTGGGCCGACATCTCGAGCGCGATCTCGAACCTTGGCGTTGACTCGAACACTGGTGCCGAGATTGCCAACACTGCGCACAAGATTGGCGGTGTCTCTGTCGGCTACTTCTGGATGGCGCTCAACTGTCTCTGCTCGGCCGCCTACGTTCTCTTCATGCGCAAGCGCATCAAGGTCACTGGCTTCAAGGACTGGGACTCGATGTTCTACAACAACCTGCTCTCGATCCCCGTTCTCGCGCTCTTCTCGCTCATCTTTGAGGACTGGGGAGCCGAGTCGCTCGCGCTCAACTTCCCGAGCTCGAACCGCACGATCCTCCTCTCCGCCATTGTCTTCTCGGGTGCCGCCGCCGTCTTCATCTCGTACTCGACCGCGTGGTGTGTCCGTGTCTGCGGCTCGACGACGTATTCCATGGTCGGCGCGCTCAACAAGCTCCCCGTCGCCGCCTCGGGCATGCTCTTCTTCGGCGACCCCGCGTCCTTCGGCAACGTCTCGGCCATCGGTGTCGGTGGTCTCGCCGGTATCGTCTACGCCATTGCCAAGACGAACCAGGCCAAGGTCGCCGCCGCCGACAAGAACAGGCTCCAGGGCAACTCGAAGGCCTAAGCTGCCTGACGTAGAGCAGTAGAGCAGTGCGGTCGGGGCCGCACATGTGATCGCATAGATTGACTGCACGCCCATACCTTCCCCGACCATCCCACCCATCCGACCGACCCAGGAGTGACATTGGCTGTGACTTGGCTCAAACAGATTCCCACCGAGCATTAAAGTCACAGCCACCCCCGTCACCCTCGTCATCTCCCGTCACCTATCCCCAACTTTTCGCAAATCCCACACATTAGACGAGCGCCCCCAGCCGCGCTGGCACCTCTGACAATCTCAAGAGGGTCCATGGCAGGGACTCAACTCAAATCCCGCATCACGTTTATAGACTTTTCCTGGAGGACTTTTATATCCATGCACGCATGAGTATCACGCTGACCTTTGCACTGGTTTGGTCGGGACCGAACTCGAGCGGGTGGCCTGGAAGGGGAGATACAAGGGTGGAGAACCAAGAGACTCGGACCAGCACAGAGTGCAGATGCACGCTTTTCGTGTAACTGTCACAAGAGGAGACGCTTGTAACAAGTTAGCCCAAGCAACCTGACACGATGTGAGGACGCCGTGACTCGCTGCCGATGCATATCAGATCATGCGACGCCCACGCCGGAACCTAAACAACAAATACATGACTGCCATACTACTACGGAGCGGTTCAGCGCCTGACGCGTTTCCAGAACCCGCGCTCGTGGTCGCACTCGCGCTCGGGCTTGGCCGACTTGCCAGACTTGCGGCCCCTCCATCGCGACTTGGACTTCTTAGATCCGCCGCCGCCGCACTTGCCAACTGTCTTCTTCGACTTGGACTTGGAGCAGCTCCAGCCGCAGTTCGAGCCACAGCCGCGCTTGTCCTTGCACTTGTTACCCGTGTTCTTGACCGAGAGCGCGCCGCGCACTGCCTGTTGACCTAGACTGGTTGCGAGCTGCGCGCCGGCCGCGAGACTGGAACCGAGCTGCGAGCGCGCCTTCTGCGCACCCTTGGAGCCTGCTTTGCGGACCGAGGACTGGGACACTTCACGCACGACACGCCGCGCGCCGCGCGCTGCCTTCCGGTTGTTCTGGCTTGCGACACGGAACAGGTAGCCGTACGCCTCGCGCGCCTTACGGGTCGAGTACGACGCTGCATGGTTCGCCTGCTGCAACGAGTAGCTTGCGGCGTCGTGCGCTTGCTTGGCAGAGAGGCGGGCTGCTTCGCGCACTTGCTGCGCAGAGTGCGAGGCAGCCGAGGTGACCTGATCGGCGAACTCGCCTCGGCGCGCGTACAGTGTTTCAGCGGCTGCACGGATTCTGGACAGCTCGTGCGAGATTTCGGTCTGCGCCAGGTGGATCTCCTTCGCGAGGAAGTCGACCGTCACACGCGACAGAACTACGAGCAGCTCGTATGACCAGACAGAAAGGTTACCGATCTGGTAAGCAACGTTCCTTGTCAAGAGGGTTACTGGGTCGGTGAAGTGCTCCTCAATGACCTCTTTGATGAACAGAGAGGTCGAGGCGGGGACAACAGAGAGCTCGGACTTGAGGGACAGAGAGGGAAGTATCCTGAACAGCAGAGACAGTCTTCTTCTGAGGCTTGTCCTCGCTGCTGTGTGACGTGGTCTTGCTGCGGCCCTGGGGCTTGGTCGGCTCCATCGGTTGCTCCGACAGGGCGGCAAGGGCGCGAGCGATGACACTCTCGTCAGAGGTGCGCTCGGGGGCTTGCGCGGCAGGAGGAGAGTAGGTGGGCACGGCGTCGAGAGGTCCGGGAGCAGAGAACGTGTTCGCGACTAGGGCTCCGATGTTATGCTGAAGGACCATCGGTCCGATCTTGACCAGCAGGGACAGAACAACGGCGGAAGCGATCGCCGTCCTAGAACCATTAGCACCGCACAATGCAGCTGACTGTGATCTACTAACAGGTACCGCTGCTTGCTGGAGGGAGTGGCGGGAGCACTAGCCTGAAAGGGATGGCCGGTGGCAGGCGTCTTGTCGTTAACGGCAGCAGAGGTTGACTTGATGGTGGCGGTGTCGGACGAGGCGTGCCGCGAAGGAACCGGATCTTTGATACCCTCCCACATGGGCTCAGATGGCACATTGTAGATGGAAGGAACAGGAGTTTCCTCAATAGTACTGAAGCTGCTGGTAGGGTCGGGGAAGATGAAGCTGGATGTGAACTTGTTGAAGCTAGCTGCAGGAGTTTTGTCGTCCTCCTTGTCACTGTCGACGTCGTCGTCCTCGTCTTCATCGTCGTTGTCGTCGAGATCAGGCTGGCTCTCGTCTGAGCTGAGAGAGAAGCCTTCGGTATCAGTTGACACTTCCGAAGTCGAAATGTTGCTGATAGTACTTGAGCCCATGGCCGAAGCGGTCGAGGAGAGGTGCTCGTCGTCTTCGAACCGTTCGTCTTTCGAGATGTCCAGCCAGGAGCCGGACAGCTCAGACCCCGACTCATCGGAGTCGTAGTGAGGTGTCCTCATATCTAGTTGGTTAGCCACCCAGTGATCGCAATACGAAGTCATGGGGGGCGAGGTCCAGCCGTGCTGGTAAGGGGTCGGGTAACACGGGTGAGGGAGAAGAGCAACTGTGAGAGAGGATGAAGCAGAGATGAAAAGTCGAGTGCAAGGAAGGCGTGAGGGGCATGGTGGGTGATGTGTAGTGTGTGTGAGACTAATGAGACAGGCGAGGGGCGACACACTCAGCCTTGCGGGCAGCGGGCGGGATCAGTGGTGTACGCCGCTACGGCGCATGCACAGGCCAGAGATCGGCTCAACAGATCGCAAGTGTCGAGGGTGCAAAGGGCATAGGGTTCGGCTAGTCATGATGTGCCCTGGCTCAAAGCTCGCCGTGAATAAGAGGTGTGTGACCATGAGATGTAGCGTGTTGCACACGTCAGTGCTGCCGTCGGCTGGTGGCAACGGGTGGCAACAACGTTAACCGACCCGAGCGGCGTTCACGGACTCATGCGTCTCACAACATATGGTGGGGAGGGGCGAAGTAGGGGCGACGAGAAGCGCAAGTGACTCACCTGTGCTATGCGCGTTAGAGAGTGGTCAGTCGTGCACTGCCCACTGGCGGGTTTCGTAAGAGCCGTTCTGGTGGGGGAACAAGACACGGGAGAGGGGTAGGTGATAGGACCGGTGGAGGTTGCACGTGCAGATGGTCGTTTGCTGAGATGTCGTCCGGTGTGCGTCGAGTACGCCGAGGTGTAGTCTCGCAATGCCAGGAGTCGCCGAGAATGAGAGTGTCAAAGTCAGAGATGTCGAGGGCAAAGAGGTAAAAGAACGTGAAGTGTGCGGCAGCTGATGTATGTGCACTAGCTCATCCATCAGTGACCGTCTTGGAACGAGCCCTAATGTGTCATATCACGTCGTTACTCGGTCTACCACACGCCCCTACGTTCCTAGATAACAGCGCCAGCTCTCTCCGTCTCGAGTCTGCTTCGACAAGTGTGCATATACCCGCTGTTGTACAAGATTCTGACACGTCTGCATTCCTTGCCACGTCCCATGCATACGCGGCGCGATCGAAAGAATGACGAGCAGAAGTTCGCAGAGAGGATCTCGACCGGCGTGGACCGAGTGGCAAATTGGAGCCCCAGGAATGCTAACATCACGTGGCGTCCGGATCCGCCCTTACAACCTGAATTCATGTCCATCCGCTGTCACCTACGACGCTCCTGAAGAGGAAGAATCGCTGGCGAAAGCGTCTGTGCCAGACCGCCATGCGTCGGTCGACCAGTCGGGGCACCCGCAGAGCGCGCAACTGTCTCCTCGCTTTCGGGAGGAGCAGCTGCGATGTCGTACAGCTTGATACCGTCCTGACGTCAGTTCGATAATAACGGCGCTAAGAATGTGAAGAATGTACCGTGTCGAATAAGGCCCACGCCCCCGATTCCTGCAGATTAGCCTAGCTCCGTTCGCCCCTGTCTCACCGATACTCGGCTCTTTAGCACCTCCATCACGACTCTGAGACCAGGCTTCGACGCGCGTTCGCGCTCGCCTGCATCGACGAGACCGAAGATCTTGGCAGAGTTCTCGAGTAGGATCTCGACGTCACTTGTGAACGAGTGTGAAACACCCAGGGACGGCTTGGTCTTGGACGCAGAGAACGCCGAGCGTTCGTTGTGGATCCCACTGGCGGCGGTCGTGTTCGTGAGCTGCGAATGAGTGGCTGAATCGGACTGCGCTTCTTACAATAGTGAGCATGCCACTCCGGTAAGTGAGCGCAGCCACTTCTTCCATCGCCGCGACCATGGCCGCATGCCCTGGGTGTAAGCTGATACAGAGGGAAGGTAAGCCTACCCTGTGATGTCGCACCCATCAATCCGTCCCTGAACAGAGTTGCAATGTTGTCGATAACGAGCACGCTGGGATTCTGATCTCTCAGGTCGTAGATTGCATCAAAGAAGTCGGGCTCGAGCGAGAACGCCGGTGTCACTGAGAGGCGATCCAAGATACCATCCTATTCCGTCAACATCAGTTATCAGCTTACACTAACCGGTGCGTTCATGGATCCCAGAATTGCCTTGGCTCGTGCAGCATTAAAGGATCCCTCGGTGTCGATCCAGTGTGCTGTCGCCTCTGGGTTCGCGACCAGTATCCGGAGCGTGGCGTGCAGCGCCAGCAACTGCCGTCAGCTGTGAGGGGGCAATGAGCCGCTTACACTCTTTGCCGTCCCTCTGGATCCAGCAATGCTCAATACTCCTCTTCCATCCCAGGATGCGAACACGTCCTCCATGACGCCGAAGCCGTCCCATTGTTTCTGGCCATACTCGTAATGCACCTCAAACTCGTCCCCAGTGTTCTGAAGACAGATAGCGATAAGCTCGTCAAGAGCTTTCACCACGGCCGCAGCCTGGGCCGAGTTCCGCTCCTCCTTCCTCCAGGTTCCCAATATTGTCTCACGGAGTGCCGAGCGCGGAGTCAGGACCACCTGATCGGTCGTTACGACAGCCGGTTCTGAAAGCGGTGAACACTCAGCGGAAGACGCTTAACTTACCAAGGAGAGGCACAACGGACGCCAGGTGCGGAGGCAGCTGCAGGCGTTTGAGAAGCATGGGATGAGTGCACGCCGACGTACCGAGGTCTGGACGTCAGTGCCTTTTGTCGTTGAGCTGCGTTGTTGTTCCCCGACCTGCTACGAAAGGGGCTGGCCGGCTGGCACTGAACAACAACAATCCCGTCATCTGGACCGCCTCCACCGCCGCGTGCCTTATCCAACCGTCCCTTTAACGATACGATAATGGCAACTGTCTCACCAGGAATGCATCCCGAGGTCATCGCTGCATCAACATCCAGCACATCAAAGCAAAACCAGCACCGCGACTCTCGCGACCACAGGCAGAAGCAGACGATCAATATGAGTGGACCACCAGGAAGACGGAAGTACGACACCTTCAATCCGTCTGCCCTCCCGACAGCCAACGTCGGCCGTGGTCGGATAGCTCTTGACAAGGATGGGAAGGACCAGCTCGAGGCCCAATACGAGGCATGGAACAAGCGGCTAGACGAGGAGGTCGGGAACATGGCGAAAGGTCTGCAAGAGCTCGTGGAGTTGTCCAATGTGAGTACATCGGCGTATGCAGCTCTTCTTGCGCGCAGGGGGCCGCTCTGAACAAATGTACCCACTCTTTGTCGTGGTGTGTTCGCTATATGGAGAGCGCTGTCTCGCTTTGCGTCTTGGGTACTGTTAGCTGACCCCAGATCGGCACTAATCCCCCATCACACGACCTGACGTCCCTGCATCTGAAGCTGAAGACTGCTTCGCTCGTTCGCTCAGCGTGTGCTCTGCGCGACACGGCACATGAGCTGCGCCTGGCACTTCTGCTCGGCGATGATGTCGCGACAGCAGGACGACGAGACGCTGAAGCGCGCCGCGTGGAGGAGGAGATCGAGAAGCTGCGCAAGGACGTTGGACGGGGTGTCTCCCTTCTGGTCGGCGGAGATGGCGGCGCGGACTCTACTCCGACAGGCGGCGACAAGCCCACGGGTGGCGAGGGAGGTGTCGCGCCCACCGAGGCGCCGGCTCAGCAGGAGCAGACGTCAACATCACCCAAGAAGGACGCTTCGCCGACGAAACCGACCGAGGCTATGGACGTCGATGACGAGGATGAGGACGAGTTTGAGGAGGTCTGAGGGTCGATGCTCCCCCAGACCTTCACTGCACTTCGCTTTGTATCACTATGCACTATTATACACCTGACGCTCACGACCATGTCCACTTGTCCGCTGGCAAGCAAAGCCACAGAGTGAGGAAAGCAGGAATGCAACTTCGCGCCGATCACCGACGTCACGGAGGCGTGCCTTGGCTCAAGCCTTCGCTCTCATTCCGATGTCATCCTCCGGAATCTCGCGAGCAACGAACGCCGCAATTGCAACTCGGATGCGCCTTGCGCCTCCTCACAACCTCCAAACCAGCGCTCACTGACAGCGCCGAGCGCGCCCCAGGTCAACTCTCCAGAATCCACGGCCCTCCCGATCGACGACCACCGACATGGATGGCATCTGTCTGTTCCATAATCCATCCATCAAATGCCTTATGACAATTGAGATCCATGCATTTTTATATTATTGCCGCCATGCAGTGTTTACTCCTCAGCGCCAACAGGGGTGTTGACCTCGGGGTTGAAGAAGAGCGACTGCATTCCCCAGGGGAAGGGCTTGGTGCTGAGAGCGTTAGTCGAGTTCAAGCTTGAGCCCTGTCGACATATCACAGCCGGAACGTCTTCGGTACAGGGGTAGCACTGCTGCTTCCTCCTGTAGTTGCTTGCACGACCAAGTTGCACAGTCCCGTTGATTTAAGACTCACCGGATGTTGAGGTACTCGTAGGCGGGGGGAGCGGGGAGGTGGCCGCCGTTCTCCTCACGGATGTGGTCAAGGTGGTGCTCGTGGTCGGCCTCGAGCTTGTAGGTCCACCAGCCACCGGCGATGCAGGCGGGGATGCAGACGAAGAAGCTAAATGTTAGCGAGCGAGTACTTGTGACGTCGGCTAAGTGGACTGTTGGCCGAAATTGACGTACGAGATCTTCTTCCAGAGCTCGGTGGTCTCTGTGCAAGGTCAGCTCAGCTCTCGAGTCTTCAAAGTGCAGAAGTCGGCTCTCCTCTACAACTGGCGAAGGGACCGAAAGCGAGATAAGCCGGTCTCATGAGAGGTCGGAGGAGAGTCGGTTCGCGATACGCACGCTTGGCGTGGGCGGCAGTAGCAGCGCGCTCCGAGGTGAACTCGTTGCCGAGGGTCTGCTCGGCCTTGGTCGAGTAGAGGCGGGCCTGGCGGGCGACGAGGGTAGCGGGGCGGGTGGCGCGGAGCATTGTGGTCGGCTAGGAGGAAGAGTGGTGAGTTGTAGACAAGCAGCAATGCAAGCAACGAGGTGTTCTCAGCTGGCGACGAGCAGCGAGCCAATCCGCGAGAGCTCCATGCATCACCTGGCGGATGGATTCGGAGCCATCCTTCCTGGGTGAGCGCCTCTGCATGGTGACGGTAATATGGCAGAGGCTCGCTTGTGGCACTCGTGGTCTCGGTTGACGGGAGGCCCGGATAAGCTTCCGAAATCGATGAGGTGAGCGCCGCCACGTACGTTTGAGGCAAGCGTGTCGCAGCTTGCGGGCAGGCCACGTCTTTGCGTTTCGGATCGACAACCAACTCCCATATTCCAACACACTCCTTCATCACCTACATCTTCGTCAGCTAAAAGCCTCGGCATACGATGCCGGGCATCTCCTACGACGAATCGGGGTCGCTCGCCTCGTACTTCGGCGTCACCTGCCTCGGTCTCATTCTCATTCCAGCCACCTTCTACACCCTCCGCACAGAACCTACAGGTGAGTCACGATTCGCCGTCCGTCTGCAGCATCCACTGACACGTCTTCCCTCCCACCGGAACCTTGCCGTCTGCATCCTCTTCCCGTCACTGCCTCGCCGCCCTCATTCTACGCGCTCGATTGCTGTTATTTTGATGTCCAACCCACAGACACTTCCATCAAGTCCCTGTGCACATGTACAGAATGCCGCGACAACACCATTCGAGTGAAGCGGCTGCGGAGTACCAAGCACAGGAAGCGCTTGACTAAGCGCGTTCTTCCTCTCCTTTTGGGCTGGGCCCTCTTCGCTTACCTGGCGTACAACCTTTACCATGCGCCGCCACTTCCGGAGCTTTCCATCTACGACCCGTTTGAGATTCTGGGACTGTCGACCAGCTCAACGGAGAAGCAGATCAAGAAGCACTACAAGAAGCTCTCTCTGAAATTGTAAGTTGCAGAGGAGGAACTCTCTGACAGATAGCCACCCCGACAAGATCAAGCTTGGTGTCAATGAGACGATGGAGATGGCCGAGGCCAAGTTCGTCGACATTACCAAGGCGTACAAGTCCCTGACCGATGAGGCCACGCGCGAGAACCTGCAGAAGTACGGCAACCCGGATGGACCGCAGCAGCGCGAGGACAAGATCGCCATCCCCAAGTGGGTCGTCGAGGGTAACAGCCAGGCTCTCGTCCTGCTTGCGTACGGTCTCGTTCTCGGTTTCGGTATTCCTTGGCTCGTCGGCCGCTGGTGGTTCCGTCAGCGTAGCCTGACTCGCGACGGTGTTCTCAACGGCACTGCCGAGCTCTTCTTCCACCAGCTTCGTGAGGACACCGACTTCCTGTCCCTCGTCACCATTCTCTCGTCCGCGCTTGAATACGTCCCCATTCTTGGCAAGAAGTCCAAGGGCGGAAAGAAGGCTCGCAAGGAGCGCCAGGCGAAGATTGAGGAGCTGGAGAAGGTCTTGGACGAGAAGCGCAAGGAGCTCGGTATCGAGGAGGACCCCACGATGTCCCGCGACTCTCGCGCGTCTGTCACCACTGCTGTTGGACGCCGTGCCCGCGCGCTTCTCTGGGCCCAGCTGTTCCGTCTGAAGCTCGACCCCGAGCTTGAGGAGGAGCAGCTCGAGGTTCTCCGTGCCACCCCGCCCCTTATCCACGCTCTTTCGAACATTGCTCTTGCCCACAACTGGCTCAACTGCTCTCTGATGTGCCTTCGCCTGCAGTCTGCCCTTGCCCAGGGTATCCCTATCGGCGTGTCTGGTCTCGCTCAGTTCCCCGGTATCTCTCTGGAGGAGGCCCAGGACATGGCCATCACTACCGGTGCCGAGGGTCAGCGCTGGCTGGAGAAGTGGCTCGCGGCGGACGTGAAGGGATTGGACGAGGCGCGCAAGGTCGCGAAGACCTGGCCGCGACTGGAGATCAAGGACGTCGAGTTCAAGGTCGAGGACGAGAAGATTGTCCCTCCCGGATCCATCGTGTCGCTCAACTACAAGGCCCGCTTCGCGTACCCGGTCCCTGCCACCAAGGCCAACGGCAAGGCCATTGCCGACGAGAAGCCTGTTGTCTCCAAGTCGTCCAAGTCGTCCAAGCCTATCACCGCCGGTTACCTGCATGCCCCCCGGTGGCCTGGTAACCGTGTTCCTCGCTATCACGTTCTTCTCGGCGACTCGAAGCTGAACAAGGTTATCGTCCAGCCGACGCGCAACAGCGAGATTCCCCTTCCCAACCCCGACGGAACTCCTGGCGAGTTCAAGGAGTTCAAGCTCCAGTTCCAGGCCCCTCCCCAGGCCAACCTCTACTCCTTTGTCGCCCACTTTGTTAGCGACTCGCTTGTCGGAGCCGACGTGCAGAAGCCCGTGATGCTTCGCGTTCAGGACCCTCCGGAGGTCTCTGACGACTCGGATGACGACATTTCCGAGCCCGAGGAGGACACGCTTGCCGGCCAGATGGCGATGATGCGCGGCGAGAAGGTCAAGCCTTCGGCCGTTCACGGCTACGACGACGAGAGCGAGTACGAGACCGACACAGATACATCGAGTGATGAGGAGGGCCCGACCAAGCCGAGATCGCGTGGCGGCCGCCCCATCAATGTGGACACTAGTGACGAAGAGTAGATAGACTGCAACGCACAGAACAAGAAGTATTAGCACCTGTTCATCGATCATCGCACAAGCACATACCCGTTTATTAGATACCGATGCATGCACCCGCGAGACGTGGACCTGTAACAGCAACATAACGACGCTGCAGATCTCAAACACACTGCTAAACTCGGCTGGTCCTGCGTGTTTCAGAGTAGACTAGACAACGCGCTTCCTTCCACGTTCGCCTTCTCTTCCAAACGTCTGTTAGACTCTTTCTTTCTGACGCTCGGGAGCACCTGCTTGCCTTGCGCACAGCAACGCGACATCTGATCGTGCAGAAATACCAGATTCGGCGACTTTCCGTTCGGCTGCTCTTAGTCCACAGACGACGATCACTTTCGTAGGCGAGATGGCCGAGCGGTCTAAGGCGCTGTGTTAAGGTGACTCAAATCATCTCCGCAGTCTTCGGACGTGGGTTCGAATCCCACTCTCGTCAAGAGGGTATTCAGTTACCCCCTAGCCTAGCTTTTGCATTTTGATTGTGCTGGTCTGCATTTGGAACAGTGGGAAAACGACGCAGTTAGCAACCGATTTGAAGTGCGGTGGAGACGAACATAACGAAGCGAGCACGACGAAGCTTGTTCTGAAGAGTCAGGCTGATCTCATCTCTCCAGTCACGCGCATGAAACGATGACCCACCCCGGGTCAGTTCCTCAGGGGACCTGGCGAGCCAAAGGACACTTATTCGATATTCGAGGTGGGAGAGAGGTGGAAGAAGCATCGATCGAATGCCAGGCACTATGTACTGCTCCAGGCGCTAACGCCCAACGTGCTGGAAGAGTCTCTGGGCGTGCTCTAGTAGCCTGACTGGACACGAGCACAAAGTTGTCAGGCATCACAACCAAGAAGGCTGTTTGTCACCCGTGACTGCTGAGACCTTGCATGCATGCCATCCAGTCCACACTGCCTTCATGGACTGCGTTTTAAGACAAGTTGTTGATAGCCGAGGACGAGGTGTTGTTTTCCAACAGAGGATGATAAGATAAAACAGTGAGCACGCCATCGATTATTATCTATGGTCGGTAGCAAGTTATAAGAACGCTGGATGGATCGTATATTGGGGATCCGCCTCGTTTCGAGTTGAGGTGGCCGTCTGATGATCGATCTGGACGAGACCGGGAGTTCACATGATCCGTCTTCGACCCTGCCCGATCCTTGGCGATTGCCCGCCGAGACGACGGCTCCGCAGAGCCTGCCTCGTCACTGGGGTCTGAAGCCCACCGACAAGCCCACCAACAGCACCCTCGTTCCGTTTCGCGTCCGGTATTTGGAATGCCCGTGAAACCCGTTCTCACAGGTCCACGGCGCTTCCGGACAGTCGATGCGGAAGCTGATATCCTAGCCCTTGCATGCGCTGCCTGACGTCTGCAGGGCTGCGAGGATGAGGTCGGTGGCCGAGTGGACCGATGTTGGCCGTGATTCCGTGGGGATTGAGGCGACGTGAATTACGTCACATGCGGCTTGCCCTCAGTCACTGCGCATCGAGTTAGTTGTCAGGCGTTGCCAGCCGCTGAGACGAGAGGAACAATCGGTCACCTCGTGCGTTATCAGGCAGCCTAACTCCGTTCCATGGCCCTCACCACCCCTTCACGCCCTCTGCTCTCGCGCCGGGCCATGTCCCCGTGCCCACGCTGATAGCTGCTAGATTACATGTGTGCCTGCGATGGGACCGAGTCGAGATCCGGCGACAAACCCAGTGCCGAGGACCGCATCTTAGCCTCAACCTTGTCTGATGCATCCTTGGGCGTCCGGGGCGTCATGTCCGGGCCGTGTGCCCTGCACCGCCGGGTAACAGGTGTCCGTCCATGTTGATTGATTGGGATTGTAACACGTTTCTCTGCTTAACCTTCGCCTCCTTTCCCCCAGGCTAACACTACCTCTTCCCTCTCCTCTAGAGCTGCTCAACCAGCCAGCGACAACGTCCTTTATAAAGACCAAGCTCCTCAACGGCACTATCCTCTTCCACATCACCTACCCGCCATGTCAGCAAGCCACATCTACACGCTGCCCGCGGTGAGCGCCACCAACACGCCTCCAGAGTCGCTCCGCGACCAAATCGAGCGCAGCCTCCTTGGCACCGAGAAGTCTGTCGTCCCCGGCGACACCGACGAGGACAAGCGCTGGGCGTACAGACGCTCCGTGCCCACCGTTGTACTTTACTCTGAGAAGGGCTTGCGGTGAGTTGACTCAGCCATCCCTTCCCTGACCTGGCTGACTCATTCTCCAGCCTGTACGACGGCATTACCTCATCCGCCCCCGAGTACTACCTATTTGCGGACGAGCTCAACCTCATCAAGAACCACGGACATGAGATTGCCGGCGCCATGGGGTTCCCTTCCAAAGGAAAGGACGACCAGTCGCATCGCCGCCATGTCCCCAGGAATCGGTGGAGGCCGGCTCGTTGGGGCGACGCCGCCTTGGGCAAATGGAATAATGGCGTCAATGGCGAGGAGGGTCTGGCCTCCGGCGTTGACGCCGGCTGGGATATTGTCGAACTCGGCGCCGGTGCCCTCCGCAAGACTGCTCACTTCCTCACCGCCGTCGCGGACACTGTGCCCGAGAGCACTCACCCGCCCGTGACATACCACGCTCTCGATCTCTCGCGCCCCGAGCTCGAGCGTGTTCTCGGCCAGATGGACGACCAGTTTGGATCCGCTTTCAGCGGCCGCATCAACAGCGTTGGTCTCCATGCCGACTACTTTGCTGGTCTCGAGCTTGTCCGTGACGGCGGCCTCGCCGCTCTCAGCTCTGGCCAGCGTTCTCCCGAGGTCTCGGAGGAGGAGCCCGGCATCGCCATGTCGCCTGCGTCGACGCTCAGTCATGATCTCATGACGCCCGCGCTCGACACGACGCCCCTTCCTCCTTCTGTGGTCGAGGGCGATGAGCCCGTGACTGCCCCGTCCGAGACCTCCGACAAGCTTCCCAGCAAGCTTGAGACTCTGGGCGCTCAGAATCACTTTGCGCCTGGCCCGGCGCCTAGCGACAACAGTGGTTCAGAGGCGCCCCGCCCGCTGCATGTCATGTTCCTCGGTTCGTCGCTCGGTAACTTCGAGCGCGACGAGGCCGCCCCGTTCCTCAAGTCGATTCCTCTGAAGCAGGGTGACACGATTCTGCTTGGCCTCGACGGCCGCCCCGCCCCCGGACCCGAGGGCCGCCGCAAGATTGAGGCCGCATACAACGACCCCTCTGGTCACACCCGCGCCTTTGAGGAGCACGGCTGGGACGTTGCGCTTCAGGAACTTGGCCTTCCCATGCCCAAGACCGACGATGAGCGTACCGTCGAGTTTGTCGGGCGCTACAATGAGAAGCTCGGTGAGTATCCAAGGCTCGGTTGTCGGATCTAACGCTCAGGTCGCCATGAGGCATACTTCCGTTCCAAGAAGGATCAGAAGATCCACCTGCCCGAGCACAACGAGGACGTTGAGCTCGCCAAGGATGAGCTTCTCCAGATCGAGTGGAGCTACAAGGTAAGCTATCTTAGTGCTTGTCGAGCTGACGTTCAGTACTCTGTTCCCGAGGCCCTCGACATGTTCAACCAGGCCGACCTGCGTGTCATCGACTCGTGGAAGGCCCCTGATAGCGAGTACCGCCTGTGGCTGCTTGAGCGCCCCGACGTTCGCTTCACTGGCGGCGCTGTCGAGCGCCCCCTCGGACCCACCGTCCCCACCTGGGACGAGTGGCAGGCCATGTGGCGCATGTGGGACCACATCACGCTGGACATGATCCCTCCCGCGACGCTGCACCAGAAGCCGATCGACCTGCGCCACATCTGTCTGTTCTACCTCGGCCACATCCCCACCTTCTTGGACATCTACCTCACGCGCCTCCTTCCCGGCGGCCCGTCTGAGCCTACGTACTTCAAGGACATCTTTGAGCGCGGCATCGACCCGGATGTTGATGACCCAAGCCAGATCCACCCTCACTCCGAGGTCCCAACCAATCCCGAGGACTGGCCCTCGCTTGACGAGATCCTCACCTTCCGCAACAATGTCCGCCAGCGCCTCCGTACCCTCTACGATGAGGCGGAGAAGCGCCCCCTCACCCGCCGTGAGGCCCGCAGCATCTTCATGGCCTACGAGCACGAGGCGATGCACGCCGAGACGCTCCTGTACATGCTCCTGCAGTCGCCCCTCACGCTTCCTCCCGGCCCCGAGCCTGACTGGGAGGTTCTGTCTCGCCACTGGGCCGAGACCGCTGCCAAGGCGCAGAAGAACGGCGCCAAGACCAGCATCGATGTGCCCGCCACTGAGGTGACGCTCGGCCACGATGACCCCGAGTCCAAGGACTCGAAGCCCCTCGACCCCAACCAGGAGTTTGGCTGGGACTGCGAGCACCCGAAGCACGTCGAGCGCGTGGCCGCCTTCAAGGCTGACGCCCTCCCCATCACCAACAAGGAGTACCTCTCCTACCTCGAGAAGACTGGTCGCCTTGCCGATCTCACCGCGACCAAGGCGCCCGCCAGTTGGGTCCGCGACGGCGACAAGTGGGCCGTGCGCACCGTCTACGGCCCGGTCTCGATGGAGTACGCGGGCGCGTGGCCCCTGATGGCGAGCCGCGACGAGATCGCGGCCTTTGCGGAGTGGAAGGGCGGCCGCCTGCCGACCGAGGCTGAGCTACGTGCCCTGTGGGAGACGCCCGAGGGACCGCGCCCGACGGGCCTGAGGGCGAACACGGGCTTCAAGAACTGGCACCCGGTGCCGCCCACGCTCACGACGAACGAGCACGAAAAGTGCCACGGCCACAACGGCGGCGTGTGGGAGTGGACCTCGACGCCCTTCATGCCCTTTGAGGGCTATGAGCAGAGCACGCTGTACCCTGGCTACTCGAGCGACTTCTTCGACGGCAAGCACTACACCGTCCTCGGCGGCAGCTGGGCGAGCGCGCCCTGCATCGCCGACCGCAAATCGTTCCGTAACTGGTACCAGGGCAACTACCGCTATGCCTGGGTCGGCGGCCGTGTTGTCTACGACAACTAGGACCGGCCCTGAATCACTCTTGATGTGTCGCCGGCTCTCTGTGAGTCTGTCGGTGAACGCAAGAACATCTGTAGTAACTATCTGCCCTCCACGGCACCCATCTTGTAAGAGTTTAGTGTCAGAAGTTAAGTGATAGTAAACGTAAAGATATGAACACCTTTCTTGTGATGAGTCTCAGTCGTACCATATCAGTCGAAGTCTTGATTAGCGGAGCATCGTTGTGAGCAATATTGTCGATCTCGCAAACGCTATGGAGCTCCGCGTGCCGAGTTGATGAGATATTACGGGTGTGTGGAGAGCGGGACGGAGTGTCCAGGATCTGTCCATGTTAGTGCGGAAACGGTGCTGAGCCGGCTCGATGTCAGGCGCGTCGCAGTACCCCACGCAGCCAGGGCTGTGGACGCGTCGAGGCCCAGGCTGAGCCACTCTCAGGGGTGCACTTCCGGCAACTGCTTCCGCTAATGTATTCGCAGGGTGGGGGTTGTAATTCAAGCATAACGCGTTGGGTCCTGAAAGTGAAATGCGACACGAGCGTGGTCCTAATACAGCCAGATGCGGTGCAGCTCTACTGCGCCCAGACGCTCAGTGCAGTCTACCCTGGCGGACCAGGCGTGAGGCGTTGCGGCCTATGGGTGGAGGGAAAGGCTTGGCTCCCACCCACGCTGGCCGCGCTGGGTTAGACTCCTGACGCCTGAGCCTGGCGCGGGTGCTGGCGTTTCCGCCTGGATGCCTTTCCAGACGGCGTCAGTTCATTGCTCTGGCAGGAAGGACCTCTAGACTGCGCGGTCTGTCTTTGCATCGCAGCATCATCCTCCATCTCGTCTTTCGTTTGCTGCGACTTTCCCGTTGAAAACAGGTGAGTTACACAGGAGACCCCTTCGTCGCTTGCGAAGGTCGAGATTTATACGGCCCGCCCTCTTTTGCTCAACTGCCCGCGCACGCTTCACGCTTCACGCCCCGACACGCACCGCACCTTTCGCTCGCACGCCGGCCCGCAGCAACAGGAACGGCGCTTCCCTCGCAGCCTTACAGGTCCAGCACAGGTCGATCTCATTTCAGCCGTAGTCCACACCAAGACACGGGTAGGCGGTGCAACCATCGTACGCACCCTCTTGGCCAGCAGCGAACAGACCTCTCTTACACTCTCTCTACCATCCGTAAGCACCTGTGAACACCACTTTCGTGATTCTTGCATCTGCGAACCACGACAACACACCCCCTCTTTTAACCCCTCCCCTCCCGACCACCCAAAGCGCACGCAAGCATGGGCCTCATCGACCCGAGGTACTGCTGTTGCGGTAAGTTGGCCTCTCTCTGGCGAAACTGACATGGACAGCGGTGCCCCTCGTCAACGCCGGCATCTATGCGATCATGATCGAGCAGATCGTGAGTACTCGGACATGGGATCGGACCATCGGACCATCGACGCGCCGCCGCGACTAGTGACCTAGCAACGACTTAGCGAGCAGACATAGCGGCGTGATGCTGCGCATTTGTGGTGCCCTTGGGATGCTGGGAATTTCGCCTGTCGCTGGCTTCGGTCGTCGCGCTCGGTCCACATAGCGATGCGCGGCGGCGGCGCAATGTCTGTCTCCGTCCGATCCCATCCAGCTTTGAACCCTGCGCAGAAGCTAACAAACAGGCCGTAGCCATGGCTACTGGTGTGCTCTGCTTCGCAGCCCCAGCAGGTGAGTTTGCGCAGCTTCACGATGATGCACTCAGCTGACAACAGTCGTCGGTGCTTCGCCTAGCCCGATGTGGCTGTCGTATCTGCTCGGCGTGATCTGCTTCGTAGGAGTTCTGGTGCAGCCCATTGGGTTCTTCGGAGTGTTCAGGGTAAGTACATGCAGCAGATGTCGGGCGAAGTGTGTGATCGCGCCCGCACAGCACCAGAAGCACCGCTGACGCTTCGCAGGAGAAGACCACGACGTTCAAGTGGTACATCACGCTGAACGCTGTTGCGACGTACGTTGCTCTCGCTGTGGCGGCCGTGATTGTGATCATCTCTGGTGTGAAGCACAACACGGCTGTGGCAAACTGCAAGAGCACGTACTATGCGCCTCCGGACGAGATCAGGACGATGAGCGGACCGCTCGAGATCCTCAGCGACCAGAGCGACCCGATCTGCATGGGCTTCTGCTGGGCGGACCTGGGCATGATGGCGGGCCTGTGGGCGATCTGCTTCGTGATGCAGTCGTACTACGTCTGGGCGTCGAGCAAGTACTCGCGCTCCCAGGTCTCGGACCACAAGCTGTACCACTCCGTGTACAGCGAGAACCCCGAGGCGTTCACCATGTCCATCCTCCAGTCGCGCAGGTACAACCCCGACTCGGTCTACTTCCAGAACCCCTCCACTCCCGGCGGGCTGCACCCCAACGACGCCTGGGACCACCGCCCCTCCTACGACGCCACGCCGGCCGGCACCCCACCCCACCCCAACCAGCAAGGAGGTCAGTACCATGACCAGCCTTACGAGGGGTACTCTGACCAACACCCCAATCAGTTTAACGACCGCTACACAGACGACATCACCCCCGGACCGCCGCAGCAGTATGCGTTCACGCAGCCGCACGCGGGCTACGTTGATCACTCGAATCGCGTTTAGTCGAGCGCGAGCGCAGCGAGCGCGTGAGCGAGCGAAGAGACGAGGTGAGAGACGAGCAACGAGCGAGACGAGCGCAGCGAGCGGCGGCGACGATCAGATGGAGTAGGAGTGAGAGCAAGTGTGAGGAGCCACTATACGAACAGTGCATCCGTAGTCAACACCCTAGTACCCGCGTATTCCACGCAGCCAGTCCATATGTAACAGTTTATGCCCCTGCATCGCGCTACATGCGAATCGTCGCTATCTACATGCCAACGAGGAGGTCGAACCGATTCGCGGGTCCGTTGTCCTTGCCCCCTTTCTCGGGCTCAGAGGCCTTCTTGCCCCTATTCTTGTTCTTCTTCCTGCTCTTCTTCGTCTCGGCCGGCGCGGACGGCAGGTCGTACCCCTCCAGCGTGGCCGCGACGGCGCGCTTCCACTGATTCTTCGCGGCGCGATTCCAAGCCCATCCCGCGCCTGGGGGTGGATCCTGTCCGTTCAGCAGCGAGTGAAGCGCAGCACCCGCGATCCAGACGTGCGGGCTGCCATGAGGCGGGGGGAGGAGGAGCGCCTGCGCCAGCGCCTGGCTGTCCTGCAGCGCCGAGGTGAGGGCGGCAACGAGCCGGGTCGCGCGCGAAGTGAGCTCCACGGCCGGGGGCGTGATCTCGGGGTCGAAGGTCTGGGACTTGCCGCTCATGATACGCTCGAGACGCGGCGAGAGGGGAGAGGACGGCTCGGGCTCCTCGTTTGCCGTCGCGTATGCTGACTCGGGCTCGGTATCCGTTGCAGTGTCTTTGGCAGCGTCCCACGCCGCCAGGGACCCGATGCAGCCGCGCAGGAGCGCTTCGATCTCGGACCGCGTCCAGTCCCCGCCTGTGGAGAGGAGGAGGCGCACGGCGGCGACGAGCGGGTGCAGACGAGGTGGCAGGGCGAGGATCGCGGGCGTGTCGGCGCCGAGGTGGTGGAGGTAGAGGCGCTGACGTTCGGCAAGCGGGAGAAGGCACTCTGGCGTCTCCCCGTTGCGCCTCCCGTTAGCCTCTGCTCCGTTGGCCGCGTCTCCGTTCTCGAGTTCGTCTCCGTCCACTGCCTCGCCCTGCGGCGGCAGGACCGCTCGCCTCGCAACGACGATTCGCCCGCCACCTTGGCGAAGGTACTCTGTGACGACGCGCGGCCGCTCCTCGCTCTGCTCCTCCTCCGCCTCGATGCCGAGCAGCGCGTTCGCCTCTTGGTCCTGTTTCTGCTCGTCGAGCATCTCGGCGGAGGCTGGAGGGAAACGCAATCCTCCTACCGCGGCGTCTAGAATCGTGTAGGCGGCGAGACGGGCACGGCACGCAGCGACACTGGCGCGACAGCTTGCAGTTGACGGGTCCTCGAGCGCAGACCACAGGTGGACGCGGTCCGGGTGAAGGTAGGCGGAAGCGAGCGAATTCAGGCGGCCCTCACGCTGAGCAGCGGCGTACGCGACAACAGCGTCCGAGTGCTGCCCGCAATGTCCAGAGGTCGAGCCACCAGGTGTCGGCGCGCGGCTAGGCGCAGCACTCGTTGCGCGACTCGCCGTGGCTGTCCTACAGCCAGCGTCGAGCTCGCCGCAGAAGGGGAATTGCGCGCAGCAGTCGGGAGGCGGGAGGACGTACTGGATCGTCGCGTCGATAACCGCGTCGGTAAGCTCGGCAACAGCAGCGTCGTCGACGAACGGCTTGGCCCAGAGTCGGCGCACAGCACGGCGGACCAGCTCGTCGGCGGAAGAGACGTTGGGCCTGAGCTCTGACAGAACACGCGCGACGCGCTCGATCCGATCTCCCGGTCGCATGCGGGGGAACAGAGCCTCGCCTGCCCACTGCGGCGTATAGTCGTTCCCGACCAGAGACGAGAGGAGCGGGAGCATCGGCGCATCGAGCCTGAGCCGCCGGCAGAGAGGAGCAGTGGCGTAGGTGGCGAGCACGAGTGTCGGATTTGCCGCATCGGTCGGGGGAAGCATGCGAGAGCGCGCTGAGCGCGGTCGCTTCGCAGCGACGGTCGTAAAATCTGCTGCCGGCGGTGCGTCGGCGTCCTCTGGCGGCGCCGAGTCGGTCCACTCCATCATATCCAGCGGTGCATAGCCGCGCAGCTTGTCGCTCGCACCGGCGCTCAGGATGACAAAGTCCGTATCCCGCCCGAGAACGTAGCCGCCCATCTCGTCTGCGAGAACGACGCAGACGCCGTCCGCCTCGCCCTGCGGCACAAAGTGCGTACGCACACCGAGCGAGTTCAGCGCAGCAACAAAGGCACCGCGGCAGAACGGGGGAAGAATCGTGTCCCCCTTGTTGTTGAATGTCGGCGAGGAGCGCGTGCTCGCGCTCAGGGAGTAGAAGACGCGCGCCGTCGAGACCTGCGCCGCCATGCGCGAGAGCGTCGTGTCATGCTTCTTAGGCGGGGACGGGCCTGTCGTCAGCTATACTACCAACTGCAGACCTCCACTTACCGTCAAACACAAATGTCGGGTCGAGACCAACGCTGCGCCAGGCTTCGACGAGCTCGCGCACGACGAGGTAGAAGCGGAGATACTCTCCACCCGTAGTCCATGGTAATGAGTCGAGATACAGTTGATAAATGACGCTGACAGTCAGCCTAGTCCTCCTCGTAGCTCACCCCCAAGCGTCAACGACAACGGGCACCGGAGCGCGGTCGCTCGCGCCGTCCCGGTCCAGCACGAGTGTGCGGCACAACGACTGCCGGTTCTCCTTCAGAAACGTCTGCAGGCCCTTAACCCCCATACTTCGAAGTCGTGCAATGAGTCAAATGAGTGATTGAGGGAAGGTGGACTTCAGAGGACACAGACATTTTGCTGCCGGTACGTCATGAAAACAATTTCGGGCCGCCGGCCGCACAAGCGCTCCTCGCCGCTCACCTCTACATCGCCCGATCTGCCCCTCGGTCTACAGATGGAGGCTCCCTTCACGAATACACAGACCAGCATCTCATGCATGTCACCAGCGCATAATCTGACCATCCGACTGCCGAAGTTTCCGGCACCAACGCCTCACCTTCCAGCGCCACTCAATTTCGTTCCCGGCGAGATGGCCGAGCGGTCTAAGGCGCTGTGTTAAGGTGAATCTTGTTCTCCTCCGCAGTCTTCGGACGTGGGTTCGAATCCCACTCTCGTCAAGAGAGTATTCAGTTACTCCCTAACGCCAACCTTTTTGCGCCTTCGACATGGTTCTCATCGCACAGACGTAGAGGATCACATGCACTTCATCCCACTATAGTGCGTCCGTGATCTCAGTCTTCGCTCCAAGCACAGCTAACAGGCAGAGATACAACATGCATATTCACCTACTTGCGCGCCTTCTTACTCGCCCCCTTGCTCGGCGCCTTTCGCTTCTTCCCTCCTGACGGTCCCGCCGCCTGCCCCGCTCCCCTCCACGAGAACACTTCGCGAGCCATATCCGCCCACTCGTCCCCTCCCTCCACCCGAAGCCACAAGAGAAGCGCTACTCGAACCGGTGCGGGCAACTGGAACACGTTCGAGTATCGCCGGGTTGTTGGCATGCTTGGTCGGCCCGACGGCCGGCGACAAGTGTGGTTCAGGACGCCGCCGCCGGGCTTGCCATTGAAGATGGCGAAATCGCAGCCGGCGAAGTCGCACGCATTGATGCCGATGTCAGGCGTCCCGTTCGCGCGCGCAATGCGGACCGCTTTCGCGATCGCTCGGCTCGACCCCTTGTTGTCGGTCCGTGTCTCCTCCAGCTCGGAAAAGGCACCCGGCGTCAGGCGGTTAGCGAGGGCGACACCGTTCAGTGCGAGCCACGCGGCCGTCGAGTTCTTTGCCACCATGACGGGAGGGGCATCAGGCGGAACGATAAAGCCGGGAGGTACGAGCTCGGCCAGCCAGTTGAGCGGACTAGACGCGTCAAAGACCGTCCCAAGCACCTCCTCCAGATCGTGGTACTCGACAGCATCGTCAACCTCGTCCTGCAGTGCTGGGAAGCGGTAGCATTCGGACGCGAAGAAGAGCCGAGACACCCAGCAACCTTCTCGGTAGTCGACGCCCTTGACCTGTCCCGGGGGCTTCTCATTACAAAAGTGGCCCCAGTTGTGGTACAAGGACCTGCGGTCAAACTCGACGACTACCGCTTCGCGGCAGACGACACACCCGGCGACCTGGATGCCCTTGACGTCGAGCGAGGCCTCCGTGGCGAGCTGCTCGATCCGGCCGCGGGTGTCGGCCGTAGACTGCCACCTGTCGCCGTCGCGTGGGACGACCACGGACAGCCCGAGCTCTGCGGGCGTCAGGGGGGCAGCGGCACTAGGCGTCAGCCCTGCGCTCGAGGAAGCGGAGAGCGCGGTGGAGGAGGGCGGGGCCGAGGTGGAGGGTGCGGACGAGGCGGAGGGTGCGCTTGAGGAACCGGAGGGCGCGCTCGGAGAAGAGGAGTAGAGAGAAAGCAGGAGTAAAGGATCCTGTCCTTGCCAAAGGACACTAGCGACGATCATGCTGATCGCAGGGCCTGCGGAGGTCTGTTGCCGCCCATACCGTCAGCATGTCAGCATCGCGCAGTACGCTCAAGTGCTAGCATGACAGCATACCCTTTCTCACATCTGGTGCAGGTGCAGGCCGCCTCAGATACGGAGCGCGCGGACGAGGCGGAGCGGGCGGCCGAGGCGGAGCGCGCGGACGAGGGCAAGGCGAGAGCGGTGGAGGCGGCAGAAGACGACGCGTCAGAGGCCGAGGCGATCGCAGAGGCCATAGTGAGCTTGCCCGCCTTGGCGCGGTCGGTGGTTGAGCGCCTGCTGGTTCCACGCGACCTGTGCGCAACGGAGCGACGGATGGGGACACCACTGTTAGACTCCATGAAGTCTCGTCGCCATTCCTCCCGGTCCATCCATGGGGGACAGAGGGCGTTGGGGAAGAGGCGCTCGTCGATTCCGCGAGCACGGAGGTCGTCGAGCCATGACGAGAAGTGCTCGAACTGCTCCTTGCGGCGCGGCGAACCCCCCTTCGGCCCTTCGTACTTGACCACCGTACCCGTTCGCAACTTCGGCTGAACGGGTTCCTCGACGCCGGCCTCCGACTCCTCGACGTCGAGATGGTCCTTGTCGCCTGTATCGTAGTCGTCAAAGTCGAGCTCGACCTGCGCGTTGGCGACTCGGTCAACATCTTCTTGACCCGCATCGGCGATCTTGCGTCTATGCGCCGATCCCTGGCGTCTCGACAAGATCCATCCCCCGAGGACCCTTAGCTCCTCCTGCGCGGCCTCGAGCTCGCCCTGTATGCCCGTGACGACAAGCTCGTTCTTGATGAGCTCGAGAAGTTCCTGCCAACGGGCGAGGTTGCCGGGGTCCGGGCGGCCGCGTTCGTGGGTGAAGCGCATAGCGACCGACACCGCCATCAGGGCGGCTTTGTTGGCGAGGACGAGGACGCGGATCACTTCCGACTCGACGACGGGGTCGTATTTGACGCGACCCCCGTCGCCGACCGGCACCAGGATCGTGTAGGCGTTCGGACCGCATCGGGCAAGGAAGGGTCGCCCCTGGCACCTGGACCACGGCAGGCCGCCGAAGGGAAGCGTGGCGTCCACGACGGAGCCGAGCTCGACTTCGCTGGGCCATTGACCAACCTCGGGGAGGTTGCCCATGAGAGGGGCAGCAAGCAGCAGCCGATCGCAGATTTCGCGCGACTCGGCGACGACGACAAGCGGCTGATAGACTGCCAGCAAGCGCATGGCCATGACCAGGCCAAGTCGGACGAGAAAATGCCACAACCATTGCTAATAGTTGAAGAAGGCACCGAAGCCTTGGCGTTCTGCGTCCAGGTCCTGACCATGCGGCCCTTCGTCCAACAGCGCGCGGACCACGGTCCGGCTAAGAGTAGGCCCAGGCCCGGCGTGCGCCCCGAAGTACGCGAGCCGCCGATCATCGTTCCGGTGCTCCTCGTTCGGCACGTCCTTAGCCACTCGGATGTGGGTGACGCCTCCACCGACGAGGTGCGGAACACGCGCCGCCTCGAGCGTGCTCTGGAACGCAGCTTCGGACATGGCCGTGGCGCCACGGGCGTCCTCCCAGTAGGTCTTGGCATCGTGGAGGTGAGCCTCGACGCTGCTGTTGATATGGCTGAGGGCCTGCAGCGTCGTAGGTGCGGTTGGATCGTCGAACGGGGGAAGAACAATCTTATCGTTCACAGCGAGGTCCGGCTCTTGGTGATAGCCGCCGCGCGCCGAGTTGCCGCACAGAGGCGCAACCGAGGAAATGAGCGCACGCTCGGTCGCGTGCAGGTCTGTGCGGCCGCGATAATCGCGACCTGTACAGGTAGCGGTGAGACCTGTCATCAGCAAATCGCTCTTCACCTAAGACGGAGTGTCTGCTCACCGTTGAGGCCGAACACGTCGGCAGTCTTCCCCGTCTCGCAGAGAAGATTGGTCCAGAAGGTGTCTTTCCCACCGTGCTCGTCGTCGTGGGCGCGGTCGCCGGGTGTGCTCATCCCTGTCGTCCCAAAGTAGCGCAAGTACACGGGAAGCTCGGGGTGCTTCTGTGCCTCCTCGATGAGGACCGTAATCTTCGGAGCTTCAGCTGCCCATCAGTACAGACTCCGACTTGCAGTACTTACCGGGGTAGCGGCAACGGAGGCGCTTCATGTCGGCCTCGAACAAGGAACAGGTCGACCACGTCAGCTGCCGGACGTAGTGCTGTACGAACGAGCCGGCAGCGTCCGACAGGTCGGCGTCATTGTCCGGAGTTGCCCACGCCGGCAAAGGTGTATGGAGCGGCGCGAGCGCGAGCTTGCCGAGGTCGAGAGCCTGCTGGTGCGAGAACTGATGTTAGACATTGAAACCGCTCGACAACTCACGAGACCAAGGTCTCCGAAAAGGACGGCGCGGTCGCCCTGCGCGTTCCGCAGCTCGTTGACGAACGGGTAGAGGCCGCTCTCCTCCTGGAGCATCTTCGCTGCGGCCTTCTGGCGCAGGGTGTTGAGGCGGCGCACGCGCGTCAATAGTACCTGGCCGGTCGCATCGTTCAGTGCAATGCTTCCGTCCGCTGGGTAAGACGGCATCTAGTGTCAGCGCAGCCACAGTTGCCAGCTTGCGGACGCTGTGCAGATGCGTGGAAGTGTCCTGAGGCCGGTACGACGACATACGGGCCGTGCAGGTAGGGAGTAGGACAGAGTGGTAGTCAGGGCATGAGGATGGGACGAACAACTCACGGTGGCGACTGTGGGGGACGTAGTCGGCGAAGAACTGAGTACGTAGGGTGGTTGAGGTCGTTATTCTGGGGCGATGCCGCGGTTGTGGTGAAAGGATGGAGGCGATGGGGCAGTGAGAAACGGGGAGAGACTTGAGAGACCGCGAAGGGGGAAGTATCGGAGGAAGCGTTGAGAAGACAGAGCCCAACACGACGAGCTGATCCCACCAGTGCCGATAGCAGACGAAGGTGTGTCCGAGAGCTGCTGGGGAGCCTCCTCAACGAATGCAGCCGGAGAAGAGGAGTAGAGAGAAAGCAGGAGTAAAGGATCCTGTCCTTGCCAAAGGACACTAGCGACGATCATGCTGATCGCAGGGCCTGCGGAGGTCTGTTGCCGCCCATACCGTCAGCATGTCAGCATCGCGCAGTACGCTCAAGTGCTAGCATGACAGCATACCCTTTCTCACATCTGGTGCAGGTGCAGGCCGCCTCAGATACAGCATTACAAGACATCCCAGTATGCATAGCTTTCTGTGAGCACGGGGTTCAGCGAGCATAACTATGAGATTTGCTTGCTGTGGTCACTGGCGCCGACATGCATTGAAGCAACCGCATACCACTTCACCCCCTTACCGCCACGCACACGCGCCTTCGTTCGATCCTCTGGGTGGCAGACTCCATTTTGTTTCGACCACGACTGGAGACAACTAACGCGGTATGTCAGCTTGTCGTAACCAGTGCACTACATCAATCGATTTAATGACCTGAGAACCCATGCATTATGTATGTGTGTTCGTTATAGTGTAGTCTATTCGTAAAGCTCAAGTCGTTGGGTGGAATAAGGCGTCTACATTGGCTTGTCCCACCATTCGGCCCATTTGGAGCGGCCCCGATTCTCCCGCATGGCCTCGACGAGGTCGTCGTCTGGCTCATACTCGTCTTCTGATCCGGGGTGGTCCCACCCCTCAAAGTCATCTCGCATACGGTTCACGCGGTCCTCGTCATCATCGTCCGTGCTCGGCGCAAGCGTGTGTAACCGTACGCTCTCGGGTCGGCTGGCAGGTGTGCTGCCAGTACGCATCGAGCGCTCCTCGGTCTCGTAGTTACCGTGAGCGAGGGGCGTGCGCTCATCGTCCAGGCCGTCGTGCGTGATCGCGCGACCAGTCTCGTCAATCTCGACCGTCTGGCTGATGCTCTTCTGGTACTTGTGGTACGAGAAGAGGGCGATTCCACACACTGTTACGACGACACCGACGATATTGATCGGCGTTAACTCGTCGCCAAATATCCAGGCCGAGAACGAGATCGTCGAAACCTCCTTGAAGATACCGGCGACGCTGAGGGGGACGATACCCGCGCGCTGCAGGACGAAATACTCGGACGCGACCATGCCAAACGCGATGAAGCCAGGCAGCGCAATGACGCCAATGTTCTTCAGCGCCTCGATGCCGTGGAAGAACTGGCGGAACATGCCGGCCCAGTCCTCCGCCAAAGCAGAGACGAAGAACAGTCCGACCGCCATCAGCGGCGACAGCCAGAAGATGGTTGCGAACGGATTGCTCAGGCCCATGGCGCGCTTGTGCATGATCAGCTCGGTCAGCGCCCATCGCAGACCGCCGAGGGCGGAGGCGGTGAACACCATGATGATACCCGGAAGCGAAACGGCAGTCGTGTTGAACACCATGAGGAAGACGCCGAACGAGATCATGCCGATAACGAGCACGAGGCGAAGGCTGTACTTTTCCAGGTGGAAGAGGAACGCGAAGAAGAGCACAAAGATGAGCGCCGAAGACTTGCACATCGCTGACTGTCAGCTAAATCGCAGGCGAAGCTTACTATAAAGACTCAGCGTGATTGTCTTCAAACTGAGGTTGCTCAGACCGATGTCTCCGGCCGTGGTCCAGGCCGTGGGCAGGATGCGCGTGCCATACTCCCTACGGGTTGGCCGCTCATCGGGACGGAACCGGGGGAACATGAATCGGACAAAAGCGGCGACGAGGAACTGGACCACCATGTGACATGCGCTGACGAAGAGCGGGTAGCTGAAGCCGTAGTATTGATCGCTGAACATCCATTTGTTGTACATGGACAGCAGGGTCGCAAACGAGTACCAGAGCGCGATGAAGCAGCCCGTGATAAGGACGTTTTTCTGAGGTCAGCACCGCCATCGCGGCCTGCTTACAATGAAGAGCGCCTTCTTCTCGCCGACGCTAGCAAGATGCGTGCGGCTGGCCGCGCCCAGTTGGTGTTGATACGGCGAACTGCCGGAACCTGCGCTCTGCAGGCCACTGTGCTCATGCACAACCAGATCGTCGTCATCCGAGTCGCTGTCGCCGTTCTTCACGTTGACGGGCTTTGCGGGGTTATCCCGGAGACTGTCGTCCGACGAGGTTGAAGCCCGGAAGATCTCCTCGCTCACGGCGAGCTCATACCCTGGCGGGGCTTCAGACGCCGCAGAGGTCATCGTGCTGGTAGAAAAAGAAAGTTGACGAGGGGTTGAAGAAACCCCGAGTGTGTGTGGGTTATGCCGTACCCATCGAGCTTTGTGGTTGCGACAGCGCTTCAAGAAGATGTGTGAGACGACGCGAACTGTAAGTTGGAAGCGTCAGGAAAAGGATGCCGGCGGGCGGCGGGACGGACTGACGGCCTCGGCGGGAGCTGTCATCACAATTCACGCGTGGATGAGCAAACGTGTGCCTCCACATGAGCCTTGGCGGTGCCAGCACTACCGCCCAGGGCGTCGACTCTCACCGGTCGGCGGCCTGCAACAATTGTAATCCTGAATATTGTCGTGCCTGGCGGGCAATACAAGTGAGTCGGCGACTCACGAAACTCAGAACTCCCATCATTCGACCCGACGAAGCGCAACGCCACTCCTGTTCCATCCTCGATATCTGGACACCTCTACTCATCCGTTTCGTATAGAGCCGGGAGAAATGGGGACTGTGGCTGAGTTCACCACTGACAGGCGATCCGTCACTCGTTGGGTGTAGTCACAGCTGCTCTCGTGTCGAGTTCGATCTCTTCCAGCATTCCACGGGGTGCTTCTCATGTCGACGGGCGCACCGCACTGATTAAGTACTGATTGATTCTGACGTCAATGACAACAGACTCGACATCGTGCTGTGCACATCGTGGTAATCTCGCATCTCCTGGATACGGTGGTGCTGCGGTTCTCCACACAATCGGCGTGATCCCCGCTGGCCTTAGCTTCTTTCAACCACGGACCCGCATCCCTCCTCGTCTCCACATTGTTGCCCACATCTGTTGTCTTCCTTGCCTTCTTCCCAGTTCTATGGTTATATCCCTTCCTTTTGACTCTGCCGTTCCCATCACCCTGGCCTTGCGACACCTATTCTGCCTAACGCACTGTAGCTCCGCTCTTCGTCTTCACAATACGCCCAAGGTCGCCACCTTGCTATCACCTCACCCTCGTCTCTGACTCTGCACTCGGTCCCGAACGCCTTCCTCCATCTAATCGCCTCTCGCGCTCCTCCTCTACCTCCCCACCAGTGTCCCCGCCCGCACCCCTCCCTAGCCCCGCCGTCACGGTGAGTAGCCACCTTCCATCCACCACCTTCCCTCCCCGTGCCATCCATCGCCTTTCCCCCCGTGTCATCCACCGGTGGAGGTGACTCTGCACACGCTGACATCATATGGTGAGCTACCCCGTTGAGGGAGCATCAAGATCGACGACAAGGGCGGTCAGCAGCTGCTGGAGCGGGTGCGCCGTCTGGATACAAGAAGAAGGTTGCGCCTAGGAGCGGCAACAGACGTCCGCAGACCTGCGATCAGCATGATCCTCGCTAGCGTCCTTTGGCACCTTCACTCCCTTTCTCTTTCACTCTCTTCCTCATCCAACCGTCGCTTTCAAGCTGTCAAGGACCGGTCGTGCTAAACCTTGCACTAGTCGTTCGGCAGAGAACACCCTCGTCTCTCATAGCTCGTCTTCCCGCACACCTCGAGCACCTCGGTCCTGTCCTACACGACGTTCTTCTCCTCCCTTCGTACCTTCTCGCTCAGACTCTCTGCCAACTATTTCTACCGCACCCCCTGCTTCACCACGTAAGCCCGGTCGCTCACGTTCGTCCGAGCACCTGCGTGATCCGCCCTTAGCACGGTGCTATCAATCTCAGCCCCGTACCCCCCACCACGTGAGTAACCAAGCACCTTCCCTGGAGCGTCTGCCATTCAATCGCCACCCAGCAGGGGCCGGCAGCACCCACACTCGCTGACATCAGAATGACCACCCTCCCCCCCGACGGCGGCATTGCGCCCACCGACACCGTGGGCCAGCAACTAATCGAGCGAACCCGCAGCCTAGACTCAGCGCGAAGGAAGGCTGCGGCAGAGTTGATCGACAACGACGGCGAGTTCTGCAGCTTTGTCGACACGATGCGGGCAACTCAGGGCGACCGCACAGTGCGTCCCGGCGACCTGCACCTCGTGAGTTAACTAGAAACTCCGACATCTGACGTTAGTTCTCCGACGCGCAGGGCTCGGACCTGCTACGCCTCGCGCTCGCACCTCTGCATGCGCCGCCGCCGTCGTGGGCCGTCCCGACTAGCGAGAACGAGCTGCTGGACAGCGTCGGCGAGACGGCGCGGCATTACGTCCGCCAGCTGACCTGGTCGTCAGCCGCCGAGTTTGCCATCGAAATGGTGGCTTTTCAGAAGCGCTTCCCTGGTAAGCATCTGTTGCGAAGGATCGAGCTGACAGGCAGCCGAGGCACCGCGCATCGTCGTGTTGGTCGAGGAGGCAAAGAAGGAGCCCAACCGCCCGGTCCGGATTCGATACTTCGGCACCACGACCATGAGCACCCCCGACGGCCGCGCGCAGGACGACGGGAAGAGGACGGGTGGCACCTTCTGGTGCAACCTCACCGCCATGACGAGCCGTCCCGTCGAGGTCTTCCTCCTTGAAGGTAAGTTGGTGTGAAGAAACAGGTGATTAACAGCAGGTCTCGAATCGCCTTGCGTCGGTCGCGAGTACCGCGAGCGTTCCGACCTCCACGCCACGGAGCGCGCGCTCATGGCCACGATCGCCCCGCTCATGGGCAACTCGGCTCGTGGGGGGTTCCACCACGAGCCAGACCTCTCCCAGTATGACAAGGTCGACCTGCCGCCGTTTGACGATCCCAACGAGCCCGAGACTATCGACGCTCTTGCCAAGCTCAACACCAAGGTGCAGGAGCACCTCGAGGACTCCAGAGAGTACTGGGAGAGGGCTCGCGGCGTCAAGCCGATCTCGAAGGCGGCCTTTGACAGCATGGTCGATTCCGCTCTTGTCCATGGTCTCGTTCGCGGTGCTGTCGTCAACGTGCGCCTAGGCAAGCACATTCCAGAAGAGGCGCGATACGGCGAGGATCGACGATTGGCGTATTTCGGCGCTCACTGCGGACCTGGACCTGCCATCAGTCGGAGCATCATATCCTCTCTGGGCGACACGCCCAAGGACGACGTCGAGCGGCACGCTTTTGGAGCCTTCGTCGACCTCTAGCAGTGGTCGGCGGAGGAGTCCAAACTCATCTCCGTGCTGGGTATGCGGCTGCTGAACGTATACCAGCCCCTCGTCATCGTGACGGAGTTCCGTGACGTGGCGATGAAGCTGCTCCTGTCGAGGACCCTGCTCGGCGACCTGCCCAAACCTGGCGAGCACCCGGACGAGGACGCCCTTGACGAGGTCATCGACACCACCATGCCTTCGGCAGCCTCTGGTGGGCCGACTGCCAAGGCCGCCCCTTCATCACGAGGTAGGGCGGGGACAATCTCGCCCTGCTCGTGCCTGTCGGCGACGGCGGCAGGATCAAGTACGATCCGATCATCGAGTCTGATGCGGTCCGGCTGCTCGCTCTGTCCAGCAAAGCGGCGCTCATAGCCGTAAGCGTCGCGGCATCGCACGCTCGCGAGCACGGACGACCGGACCCGACGGACCTGGGTGCGCACCAGGCTCTGCTTGCCTCGGTCAAGGTGGCCATTTCCAATGCCGGGCTCGACGAAGAGCTGGATTCTGCGCGCGAGCAGCTCAAGCGCAACGCGCACTGGATAGCCTTCAGGCGCCAGCATTCGGCGGCGCAGCGCAGGGATGATGCCGCGGGCGACGAAGAGAAGAAGAGCGACAAGGACTTGCTGGAGCTTGCCCAGCTCATGGAGCTCGTCGACCTCGACGACGACAAGAGAGGCGATGGTGACGACGGCGACAACGACAGCGCTCCGAAGCGGAGGCGCGCGCCTGGAGGCACCGTGGTGCTCTTCGAGGGTGGGTTCAGGAGCGACGAGCGGCGCGCCCAGTTTGAGCGGCTCTCGGCGCTGCTCGACGACCTTAGGGGGCGAGGGCTCGACGAGGAGTTGTACCCGAACCGCCTCTGCCCAGCGCACCTCAGGACGCGCGAAGAGTGGCTCCTTTGTTCCTCGGCCCCGGCATCGATCTCGAGATTCACGCCTCGGCGCTGAAGAAGAGCGACGGGTACAAGCCCCGTCGACCGACCGTCGACCGTGCCACGGCCGGGAAGCGGAATCCTCTGTCTGCCTGCTGCGATCGCCGGCCCCAGCGCCTCAAGCTCTGTTTCGACCTCCGCGTCCGTCGCCTCCGGATCGGCCGCCTCGAGCTCATCGACCGGCATCACCAGCGCCGCCGACCTGTTCCGACTGTCGACTCTGCCCATGGGCACGAGCCTTTGGACAGTCACGAGCGCCGTCGCGCCAATGTTAATGTTCAAGCAGTTGGCGACGGAGGCATCTGTCGAGGCCAAAGACATCGAAGTTGCCGGCTGCGTCTCTTGTCTGGAGGTAGTCTCTGTCAAGGTGGATGACCTCCAGCAGGGCCGGGGCTGGGCGCATTCGTGCACTGGCGATCGTGCAGACTTGGATGTGGGCGACGGTCGCGACAATTGCTGGAGCATACGCGTGTACATCGCGTCTGACCTGCACAAGTTCCCGGCGCTCAGGCAGGCGGTCGGCAACGTCGTCGAGGAGCACTCGCTCGCCGACGTCCTCAAGTCCATCAAGGCCGGTCCCCTTCACGCGTACGCGGACCTGATCCCCCCCGCGTACACGCCCTCCGACCAGGACCCGCCGGTGCTTGTTCTACCGAACTCGAGCGCAGCGTGGTTGGCTTTCAACGCCATTGCTCTCACGCATAGCCTCACCCCTGGGGCGCATGCGGAGCTCGAGAGTGGAAGGAACCCATCGGTGCGGGCCATGTCCGGGATCGTGGGCGCGGTGTCGAAGGCCGGGGGTACATCAACGTGCTCGAGTGTCCGCACCAAGTGTGCAACTATTTCGTCTTCAATCACAAGGCCGCTCAAGGGGCACGCACCCACTCGTGTCGACAGCCTCGTGGTCCTGACGACGATGCGCCGCGCTTGCGCGTGCACAAGCCGTGGACCAATGGTCACCAGCTCCCGTCGCAGGTCCGCGTCGCGCTACTCACCTGGATCCTCGTCAACAACACGGACTTTGTGGACACGGCGCGCAACTTCTTTTCCTGGGACGGCGCAGCGAGCGCAGCGACAAGCAGCAGCCGAGGCCGAGGAGGCGGTGGCAGAGGAAGGGGAACAGGCGGGAGGGGCAGGGGAGCCCGGGGAGGAGGCCGAGGAAGTGGACGAGGCACGGTGGCGTCGTGGGCGTTGCAACAGCAGCCGGCCTCCTCGGGGGCTGCTGCGTCGTCGTCAAACCAGTCCGCCGAGCGCCAAAGGTCAGCATGGGACTCGGGCCCAGCGTCGAAGAGAGTGCGGAAGTGACGTAGCAGATAGTACTCAGCATGCATAGTCCCAGGAGTCGCCTTGAACCGATAGAGCAGGTGGCGAGCCGCGATGGGCAGATCTCGTCGGCAGAACTCATGATGATCTTTACGTAATATAGCACCAACGACCGGCGCATCGCACACAGAGTGGTTAGAGGCCTGACACTGGCGCTTATCGTCGATACTTGCCTGCGCATATGGAGACTCAACCCCGAGATGTTACTAGATGCATGAAGCTTGCATGTTTGTTGTGTGCTGCCGTCGAGGGCCCAGCACATGCAGCCGTCATCTGCGCCAACAAGCTCGCCGCCGGCGCCAGGGCGACTTCCAGTCGGTCCAGCAGTCGGCTCACACCAGGCGTGTATGCCGCCGAGTCCAGCGAGCGCCCAAGTCCACCTTGCACGCCTTGCGCTTCCGTGCATGAGACACCCGCAGCTGCCCTGCGGAGGGCACACAAGAGGGCGCAATCCGAGGGCAGATCACTCATCTCCCAGGGCCGCCAGCCGATGTGTGGCAGTGTGGCATATAACGCTCCATTTTCATGACCTTCTAAGCGGTTGGTTTACGTACCAGTTAATACTGTAATCGCCTTTTACTATTGCAGTCGCGCCACGTGACCATTACGCCGCTGTTCGAATTTCTTCCGTGCCCGACAGGGCGACCTTTTTACGATTTTTTCGATGTAGAAGAAAATTGACGGAAATTACGGCACGATGCCACACTCCCGCCTCCACCGGCACGCACGTCGATCGCGCTGCTGCTGATCCGGGCGCATGTCGCAGGGGTTGCTGATCAGTGTTTCATAGACGAGCGGGGTGCAGATTGCGCAGAGAAGGAGGTGAGTGATAAGTGACGTCATAGCCACGTGGTGGTCGAGTTCGAAGCTCGCGCGGAGACGGGCAGGATGCACGATCAGCCGAGCGTGCATTCTGCGGGGTATGCAGAGCCAGGACGGAGACAGAACGACACCATCGAGAGCTGGAACCTCGAGAGCCGGGGCATCGACTTCTGAGGTGGGAGGAAGGCAAGCGGACGGGACGTGCAACATGAAGCAGATGTGTGGGGCTCCGCGGTGGAGGCAGTCCACTCTGTTGATTCTGATCAAACCCCTCGACAGATTGTTTCGTGACCGGTGTAGACGCCAGAAGCTCAGAAGCAAGCGTTACTGGTGGATCAAAGGACCATTCCAGAAATGCTAAGCTACTTGCAGACGGGGCTATGGGTGCATCCTTTTTAATTCGGCAGCTTTGCAGGGTATTTTGCTCTGCAATTCCAGCCTTCCTTCGCATGACCTGTTCGTCGTGCAACACACTTGCCACCTACTCGCACCCTTCTTCTCTCTGCTTTTCCTCGGCATCTCCACTCACCTCGAAACCTGACTACGTCTACACCCGTTCAGCCACTATCGTTCACTCTGTCCTTGGGGAAGTGCGTGCGGCGCAGCCTAAAGCCACGGGTGAACCAGAAGCTCAGTAGAATGTTTCAGACGTCCTGTACTCATACGGCGCAGCTTGCGGTTCTCGGAGACACACCCGGAGTGTTTCGAAGGGGATGACTATAGTCTTCTTATCTTCTTGCCTGCTCATCCTCTGCTGAGACTGTGGTCATATCAACATGCGTGTGACATCCTTCCACGCCTAATTCTTTCCTTAGCGCCTGCCCGATGGAATCCACTACGTAGACACTAATTGTCGAACATTCTATACATCGTTGTCCCTCCACACGCCCGCACACATCTGATTTCCAGCTCCAACCTTCCCCAGTGGTCCCCGAGTACCACCCAGCACCATCAGATTCGTGTCCTAGCATCCCTTGCTCCAACCTTGTCCCAAGATGAGGACACATGTAGCGTTTCCCTTTCTCTCGTTGAGTGCAGCTTTCTCATCTGATGTCTCAAACGCCGATCGCGCCATTATCGACCATCTACCCACCCCAGCCCTCTGCATACCATCCAAGCGCCCTCGGCCAGTCTGGCAACTGCTCATAATCAGCTGCACCGATCTTTGTCCGCCCCCCCTTCATCTCGCCTTACGTCCTGACAGCATGCCCAGCCAGTGACCGGAACGGCTTCTCGATGATTCGCTGCATCTCTCATCAACAGCGGTCACTGACTAATCACCCACGACTCGTCGAGCCTGGACCATCACGTTGTCACTTCAAACAAATTACGAACCATATCCTGCCCGCACAATGCTTGAAGCACCCGTCCTCCAGTGCGACCGGTGAGTCTCTCCTTGCCTCGACAGGGCCAGCCATCACGGTGAAAAGACGATGAAATCACCACAGTGCAAGAAGCACAATGTAGCTCCTTGCCACAAGGGATAGCACGCATCTGCGACCAACTGGTACGATTCATCGGCTGAGCGTCACATCCGAGCTGCGCCCTTCTTGCCAACGCGTGCCTCAGCTTACTCGCAACCCATGCGGATTCAACTTCGAGAGACTGCGGCTGCGCCCTTCGTCCGATCCACATAGTTGAGTCACCTCAACGCGCGTCCGCAGACACTGCCCTTCGCCCTCCAGCGCTCCTCGCAACACGGAAGCTTCCACCGCCCCACTCCGTCCTCTTAAACCGCCTTCATCCACGTTATCACTTCTCATTCACTCACTCACTCATCATCTCTCTCTGCCTCCCACATTCTCACCTCTGTCCCTCTCTCATCCTTTCTCTATCATCGTACCCAGGTCATTCAAGCAACGGTCAACCCGGCCTCCCCAACGCAACTCAACAATGCTTCCCCGTCAACACCTCTCCGCGCGTCGACCAGCTCCGGACTTCAGCAAGATCCCACCCTGCGCCTTGATGCACCAAAGGAATCACCATAACACAGTCAAGCCATACTCGGTGGCCATTCCACCACGAGTGAGTCCTTGAGAATGCAGATGTAGCTGACGCTGACTCCGAAACCGCGGAGGCAAAAGAGGGGCGCACTTGGGGCGAGGGGCGGATGCGAAAACGGCAGAAGGCTGATGTAAGTCTGCGGGGCCCCCGTGCCCGACTTAGGTAAGGGAGAGTGAAAAATGCAAGCCGCTGTGTCGCAATGGCAGCGTGTTTGACTTCTATGAGAGTTTCTCATCACACATCAAAAGGTTGCGGGTTCGAGTCCCGTCAGTGGCTTCATTTACATCCATTTTTGAACCTTTCTATGTCGTTTTCTGCACGATGCACCCTCTCCCTATGTCGTAGAGCCGTTGCGCTGGAATCAGGGGAAAGATGCAGCCATCGGATGAGGCCGCCAACTGCGAGGCACTACGACTCCGGCAACTCACGACAGGTCTGGCTTCTGGCTTTACAGTGCGGACTGCGTATTCTCACCCACCACTAACTATTTCCTCGCTAACCCAGCTGCGAATCACGTGCCTGTGGCTTGCCCGTATCCACGTAAAGGTTAGTCACCGGCTTTTGCTCTTCCTGGGCCGGTGCGAGGCGCAGAACTACGGTGCGAGACCCGGTAGACCGGCAGAGCCGCTGCGCAAGACTCGGCACCGAGAGTACGCAGGTGGGCAGCAGAGTTTGTGGGATTCTGAGACTTCCGTGGCATAACAACAGGACTACGTTTGATAAACTACAAGCGAGAGCAGGCGAGAGACATATCGCGGCCTCCAGACTCTACTCCGCCTCGGCCTCGGCGTCGCGCTTCCAGCCACCGCCGCCTGTCGTCAGCTCCGAGTTCTGTTACGGCAAAGTCGCCAAGTCTCGACTCACCACCCCACTGGCCACCACCTCCCTGCCTCTCCTCGAGCTCATCACGCTTCCATCCGCCACCGCCTGTTGTCAGCAACGTTTGTGAAATCGTAGCGATGCAACTCACCACCCCACTGGCCACCTCCACCCTGGCGCTCCTCGAGCTCGCCGTCGTCACGCTTCCAACCACCACCGCCTGCCGTCAGCCAAGCATTCCGTGCCGATGAAACTCACCTCCCCACTGGCCGCCGCCGCCCTGACGCTCCTCGAGGTCGCGCTTCCATCCGCCGCCGCCGCCCCACTGGCCACCACCACCCTGGCGCTCCTCGAGCTCGCCGTCGTCACGCTTCCAACCACCACCACCACCCCACTGTCCATCAGCTCCCTGGCGCTCCTCGAGCTCGCCGTCGTCACGCTTCCAACCACCACCACCACCCCACTGTCCATCAGCTCCCTGGCGCTCCTCGAGCTGGTCGGTGTCGCGCTTCCATCCGTTGGGGTCTCCGGAGCCGTCGCAAGGGCAGCATCGCTGGTCGCGCTTCCACCCGCCGCCTCCTCCCCACTGGCCGCCGCCGCCGCCTCCCCACTGGCCGCCTCCTCCCTGGCGCTTCTCGAGCTCTTCGGTGTCGCGCTTCCAACCTCCGCCACCACCCCACTGGCCACCGCCTCCCTGGCGCTCCTCGAGCTCGTCGCGCTTCCAACCGCCGCCTCCTCCCCACTGGCCGCCTCCGCCCTGGCGTTCCTCCAGCTCATCGCGCTTCCAACCACCACCACCTCCCCACTGTCCACCACCTCCCTGGCGCTCCTCGAGGTTGTCGCGGGCTTCGAGCTCATCACGCTTCCAACCGCCGCCGCCGCCCCACTGGCCTCCTCCGCCCTGGCGCTCTTCGAGCTCGTCTCGCTTCCAGCCGCCGCCGCCTGTTGTCAGCACTCCTCAATATGTAGGACGTACCTCCCCACTGGCCGCCGCCACCTTGCCTCTCCTCAAGCTCGTCGCGCTTCCAGCCGCCACCACCTCCCCACTGCCCACCACCGCCCTGGCGCTCAGCGAGGACGGCAGCCGGGGCAGGGGCAGCCTGGGCAAGGGTAGAGAGGACGGCGAGGGTTACGAGGGTGAACTTCATGATGAAGCGTGTGTGTGATTCTGGAGTAGAGGGTAGCTCTCGAGTATCGTGAGATGGTCTGGCTTGGAGTCGTACAGCATTTGCTCTGCTTATATATCTGTCCCGGTCGGCACTCAGCGTCCTGCCGGCATCGAGGTCAGCACCCCAGAATCACAGAGAACGCCCAGGTGACCTCGGACGCGCTGCCCGGCTCCGCAGCTAACGAATAGCAACAAGGGCCTCGATAGCCTCACGGGCGACACCGGACTCCATCGTCCTGTCCTGTTGTCTCTCCTGCCCTCCTGACACCCCCGAATAGATCTGGACCAGCGCCTCTCAGGTTGCATGATTCAAGGCTCCAAGGCTTGCTCGGCTTCCTCCCTCCCCAAGCCCCTCCTCACGACCGCGAGAGGACGACGTGGCGCGAGCCGGCAAGCGCACTACCCCGGCGTCCCAGCGGTGTTCTGCAACCCCTGCCCAACCGTCTTGCCCATCAGCCTCTTCTATTCAAGGCTCAACAGTCGAGCTACCCCGATCCTCGAGCTTCTCCACGAGGCGAGGCTGCGAGGCTTGGAGTGCCTCTGTTTCGTCATGTCGCTTTCTCATGCTCCCTCCGTTAGGTTCCTCTTTGAGGATCGCAGCCCCGCGTCACGACTCGCTTCCCCCGTCGGCCATCAGCAAACGTCACGACTAAGGCCGGTCGAAGCTTCAGAACGCCGATGAGGCAGCCGGTTTGCCGTCGCCACGCAACGCGCATCTGCAGCTTGTGCACGCAAACAAGTCGGCACCAATGTCGGGGGCCTGGCTTGGTTTTGCCTCAATCTGAAGGCCGAGGCTGGAGAACGCCGTGTGTCCGTCGGTCGGAACGCTCGAGCACCGCCAGAAACAATTCATAGTCTCCGAAAGCCTATCGGCAGGGTTGAGCAGGGCTTAGCAGGGTTGACAGGGTTCTCGGCATCCGCGTGGTCTGGAAGATCTCCAAGCTCGTGCCTATCGGGCCTTTCCCCCAGTCTCCCCTTACACTCCCCATGAGGCCGCATGAGTCGCCCGGTACTCCCCAATCACAGTACGCCGGCTAGCGCCGCATGCCCCGGCGTACTGCAAAAGTCTCGAGTCTATCGGGCTGCCGAGTGGCTGGGCGTCCGCCGGTGGATTGCCGGACCGCCGCTCGGCACCCACTACCAAAGACAGCCTCCGAGAGCGACGGGGCGTCGCGCGTCTGACTCTCCGGAGCTTCGCGATCTTCGGGCGGTTCAGGAGCGTCGCTGGAATCACGCCAGAACACGTTCGAGCCCCAGTTTCACGTAAGTTGCGTGGGCTCAGGAGACGCTTTCAAAGGCTTGGGCGAGGGCTTGGTTGCCGATAGTGTGGGAGAAGTGGGATCCCAACCGGATGCGAGCGTGGGATTGGTGCTGCGGCTCCAGCCTGGGCCCTCGCGTGCGGTACTTCCGCCACATCCGTGACGTGAGGAAGACGCATCCCTGGGATGGAAGCTTCCGCCGACGGCGACTTGATTGAGTGCAGAACGTAAGGAGGAGTGCGTGGGCAGTACGTCGCAGGGATGAGATGATCGCGCTACGCTGTGCACGCTGCGTACGTTGTCGCACCGAATTTGGGCAAGTGACTCAAGTGACGAGCAAGTGACGACTGAGCCAGGTGACGACTGAATCATCAAACAGAGTCCTGTTCCTCGTCTTCCAGCCCCTCTCGTCTTACCCTCGTCGCATCCTCCCCATCTCCTCCACTGTCATTCTCACTAGCCCCTGCTGAGAATGAATGAAACAGGACAGGAGCAATTGAATCTCTCGACAGGTCACATCCCTTGGTCTGGTCTGTGTCTGGCCGGCTCTGGCCTCAACGGGTAGACGACCGCCCAAAGGCTGGCCGTGATCGAAACACAATCACGCGACATTGCTGCGACACCCCCAACCACCCACTTGTCAAACACTCTCGACAGTTCTCGACAGCTCTTTCGAGAATCACGATAGCTGACGGGAGAGCTTTCGACACTCTCGCGACATGAGAATGGAGACACTTACGGACACAGGGAATAGAGAACAAACATTACTGACACAGGAACAGGAACGAGGCGTGTGTACGTGGTAACTCTGTAGCGAGGCCTGAGCAAACTTTAAAGGTTGCTGTACCTCTTGTTCGTCCGCAGGGCCGCGTGCGTGCTGCGCTCGGAGTGCGCGTCGGGCCTACGTCGGGGCTCAGGCGGTGTCCGGCGTGCCGTTGCCGGGGTCCATGTCGAGGTGGGGAGCGATTAGGGCCACAAGCAGCGAAGACCTAGCAGTCGCTGAGGGACGAGAGGAACAGAAAAGACGCAGAGGGTCCGCGGAACGACGCCGAGCCGCGGAGTACCCGGTAGGCACTGGCGTCGTGGTCGTTGAATGTGAGGGAGAAGATAATGCGAACAATGGAAACGCAAGGGCTGCCCGAGGACCAAGTATGCAACTCTGTGTGTTCACCTGACCTCTCGCTTGGCCGTCACATCGGCCATCCAAAGTTCGCCTGTTGCCCCGGTCGGCTGGTCCGAGCTGTAGGCCGTGCCACCGGATGTCGGCCGCGAAGACACCGGATGTCCCGGTGCCGCTGGTTGGCTGCTCTGCTCATGACGACCGATCAGCCTTATCAGGTAAAGCAGGGACGTCTGGGGATGTGAGAGCGAAGTTATCTGATTCGAGAACAGCTACATGCCCGCCACCGCCCTGAGCGCCGCAGCCGTGCAAGGCTTTCGTTTCCTGCAAGATATTACGAGACGCTCACGCAACCTCGATGACTCGCCTGATCGCGCACAGAGCTCGCCGCCACCACTGACGCGCAGCGGCTTGCGGCACGTCCGACCGCCCATGAGGGTCATGTGAGTCACATACCGACAACCCTTCTTCCCCTGACACCTCAGCAATAATAGCAACGTTGCGAGGAGCGACATGTTTGGTCGATGTGTTTGAAGGTCCTCCCTGTGCAGGCACGCTGCTGGAAACGAGGCATAACCGTGTCTGAGTGGGTCTGCGACAACCTTGGAGCGTTTGTCACGCTCCAGTCGTCGGGCAACGACGATGGTATCGGGTTGCGCGGTGGCCCGAACGCCCGAACAGCAGGGGAAGCTCGATGTTCTAGCGCTATTCTGGCAGAACGCTGTCAAGAAAGTTCGATCGACCCACTCCAATCCATTCGGCAGCTGCTTCGGCGAGTGGCAAAGAAGGCGCCCCAATCCTCAAGGCCGGGGCTCATGGCGAGCGGCCAAGTGACCAAGGCCGCGGCACGAACATCTCGCTTCGAGCTCGCCGGCTCAAGGCAGCCGCGAGGCGAAGGAGCCATCGATGTTGGACTTCAGCTGGTTGTCACAGGCACGCACACCCTGACAATTAGGTGGGTCAGAGAACCAATCTTGGCTTCAAAATCCCAGCTCCCACACGACGCTCACGCTCGCTCTCGCTCGGATCCACAATGTCGATCATTCACGGCCGTTGCGAAGGACGCGTCATGTTGGGTTAACTAAACAAGGGCGCGGTTCCGCACCGCGACAAAACTTCAGGTGTACGCCCTTAGTGTCGCGTAGCGGACATAGTATGCCGTAGCCCCAGATACAGCCACTTCCGCACTCGCGTCGACGCCCCGCGACGGAATTCCGAATGCTACGCAAGCAGACATGTCCGGCCTTCTTAGTTCAGTGGCTAGAATTTTCCACTAGTAGCGGTGTATAATCGGACTATGGAACGGTCACCCGTTCGATTCGGGTAGAAGGCAAACATGCGGCGTAGTCGCACGAGAGTGCGAATCAGCCAACTTTTTCAATTCCATCAAGGGCGAACGAGCGGGTGGCCGACGCCTGCTACGCCGATTACTCTGTAGACAATTGTGTGCATGCAGTACGTTCGAGGTTGTGATCGCGCAGAATCCGAAACGACACGGGGAAGGAAACTTGAATGGGCACGGGCGACAGTGGGTGGGGAGGAACGTTTCGCAATATGAGCTCGAGGCGGATATGTGCGGTTTTGGTTCATTCACCGGTGTCTGTGAACTATTTAGAGTTTGTGAAAGCTCTATAGCTCTGCACAGCGTGTTCACAGCAACAAGCGACAAGAGACGGACAATGATGGCACGCGACAACAGTGGTACAGTTGAGAGATCTGAGTTTGGATCAACGTAAGACACGTTACGTCATGATTTGCCTCCGCTACCTCCACTTTTACCTCCACTTTCTCATGTATCCCGCGCGACGTCTCGCGATGTCTAGTTTCTCAATCTTTCATCCATCTCGAGCACTCTCTCTTACGCTTAATATTAACGATAGGACAATGGCAACAGGTTCTACGAAGAGCCACGACTCAGGAGATTTGGATCCACGCAAAAACCGCATGCTTATAACACTAATACCCAGTGTATTCGCCCTCCAATTCGATCACAGTCTCGAGACGCTCTTCCATGGAGTCGCAGAGTGCGTCAATCAGTTCTTGAGGCGTTTCCTCGTCGTAAACCTGCTGGATCTTGCGCCAGAGGTCTTCCTCGGACGTGGCCATGGGGAGACGGGCCAGACAGGACTTCAGGTGCGCCCAGAGGTGCTCAATTGGGTTGAGATCAGGTGAGCAGGCAGGGTGGTCGAGCCTGTGGATGCCGAAGTGCCGTCTAACTGCGTCACAGTCCTTTGTACCGTGCACCGATGCACCGTCCTCCATCGTGTAAACGACACCGAGGCCGTCGGTAGCCATCTCGGCAGCGAATTCGGTTACATATGGCAACAGGATCAGGTTGGCGTAGCCGGACTCCATCGTCCTGTCCTGTTGTCTCTCCTGCCCTCCTGACACCCCCGAATAGATCTGTTCTCTCTGCTTTTCCTCGGCA